TAAACATTTATGTTTGGATGACATTTACTGGTAAAATATGAGAAAGCAAGCAAGAAACTAGACTGTGTTTGTTTAACTGTCAGAGAGGTGTAGGGAAAGGTTGGTAGAGCTTATGGGGTTTTGGTAAATTTTACCTGAAATCCATATTTTTATGATTCATACTCCAGCTTTTCCTGTCTCTGGACTTTCACCAATGTCAGGTTTCTGTAAATATTTAAATAATAAAAATTTAAATAATTTAAATAATATTTAAATAATGTATGCTGTGTTGTAGCAATACTGGAGATCTCAAGTGGCACAGAATTACAGATTTGTTTTCCTCTAGTGTGAAGCACTTGGGGTTTGTGCATGGTGAAGTTCTGTGAGTAGCAGTGGAGGTTTGTGGTGCTGCAGGACACCTACAGACAGTCCTGTGAGAGCTCAGCTTTTGCTGACTAATGCTTCCATCTGCTGGAGAAGTTTGTTTGCACAGCGTTCACTCTGTACTGTACTCAGAGAAATAAAATCTTGCTCATTAAACCCCCACATTTCTCTCCTTAATGAGTTATTTTCTCATTTTTTCATGCAAATACATTGATTTTTTGAAAGAACAGCATGAGATGGTTACTCTGTCTTTGCATATCTTTTTATTAGGTTGTGCAGGAAAAGTGTGCAAATAGAAAAGCCCCTCCCCAAATCATAAAATTTGTGGAGAAAAATTTGTTCTGTGTTGCTTGTTTTTTATGATAGTGTTGTTAAGAGTAATGATATCAGAAACCTTTGGACTTGATACAGTGACATTACAAATAAATACAGCATTCTTATGTTAGATAAAAATTTTAACTTTATAGATATAAAACTAGATATAAAGTAAATTATCAATTATATAATATGCTTATATATAAGATTAGATGTATTAATTTTAGAGGAAGCTATAAAGATGTAGATTCTTTTATATAACATAATCCTACATGAAGATTACTTACTGAGATATGTTTATATTTAAATATATTAATTCAATACACTATAAAAATAACAATAAACAAGAAAGTCAGAGCACTTTGCCCCTGCTTTCCTGCAACCTCTGCAATTCTGTGTCCTTTGGGATCATCCAAATGATGATCATTTGATAGTTCACTTGATAAAAATTATCCATTGTACATGTGAAAGTTTGAGATGACCTTCAACAACCCATGGAACACATCAGCTCCATCTCCTTCACATCTTTGGGCTCCCCAGGGCAGTTGTCATTGGGATCTTGGACTTGGCTGGGCAAGGACCACCAAGTGCCCTTAGCTTTAAGGACTTGGAATCAGGGTCAAACACCAAAAAAAGAGATGGCTTTTAGGGACTTGATGTTTTCAAAATGATGAGAGTGGTAGGAAATACAGACTTTAGATTCGCTTTTGTTGTTCTTCTACTAATAAGGAGAAATAACTCAAGATATCTTTCACTGATACTTATCTATTATCTATCTAAATACTTATCTATTTTGTAAGTAAATTGATCCCATGTGTGTGTAGGTTTGGGCTTTTTGGAAAATAAGCAGCTTAGTACTTCTAGGCAGCAAATATTCTGCTCTGGGTGTTGCAAATGTGAGAAACAAATTTGTGACTGGTAGGAGCACTACAGTCTAGGTTCCAAATCCATCATTTGTGTGGACAAATAGCTACTGTTTACCTTGGCAGCCATCAGGAGCTATGTTTGAGTGGGATTAATTGAACTGGATGTGCAGTTTAAAAAATCACATGAAACCCAGAGGCAAAAGCTTAGGCAGTTATTGTTTTCCTTGTGTTGTTACTTCACTTGCAGGAGCAACAATATCTGAAGCTGCCATTGGTAGTAATTTAATAAAGAGGATTTTCTTGGATTTAAAAAAACCCAAGCCCAGGCTGTCCATCATCATGTTATACATGCAGATAAAGGCAGAAGGAGTGCTTTTCCCTGAGTGCCCATGCAGGAGCACATTCCATTGCTGATGTCTGTGCCTCAGTGGTTTGCCTGTCAGTATCTTTATGGCTCACATACCTTAGCAGGCTGTAACTCACACCTGCAAGTCTCTGCACAAAGGGCTTGAATTTCTTTTTACTACCTGTGAACTGAGATTAAGCTACTTACTCTCCTTGTTGATGGATGCATTTGGTCTTGCTGCTTCAAACTGTTTTCTCAAGAAGTTATTAATGATTTAGTATTTAGCCAATTGTCAATTCTTAATTTTCATTAAGAATCTACTTAAAGTAGCCTTAATTGCCTCTTGCATGATGTTGTAGCTTTGGACAGTGCCATATCCCAGGGAAATTATGTTTTTTATGTGCTTCATGTAGGATTGTAAACCTAGATGTTGGGATGTTGTTTGATGGACATCATTCAAATCATAAATTGCCATAAAATTTCAGAACCAGTTCCAGCAGGTGAAGAACATGAATTCAAAATTGTCATACCCTGGTTGTCAGTGATCAGATTCACAAGAACTGATGACAAATTTTTCTTTGGATAAAGTAATAGGCAGAGAATGTTTTCCCCTGAAAAGTGTATTTACAGCACATTAAGCACAGTAATGCTCCTTAACTTTGGAGATTATATTGTTTATTTTAAAGGAAGAAAAATGTCTGTGTGTGTACAGGAGGTGGGGGAGGGTGAGAATTGATTTGAGCAGTTGAGTCATGGGAATCAATTTACTTTTCAGTTCCTGGAGAATGGCATTGCAGCTGGTGGTTTGTGACTGCCTCATCCGTTGTGTCATCGATGGGGCAGAGAGCAATTCTGTTCTGAAGCAGGGAGTTGCTATGCCTTGGATGCTTTGTTCAGCTGGGAATAATGATTTGTTTGCAGTGATTGAATGATGTCAGCAGCATTCACAGGTGAAGCTGTGGCTCATGTACCTGTTTGCAAGCTTTCTAAATGTTGTCTTCTCTACACCTTTGTGGTTATAGAATGTCCTGAGCTGGAATGGACCCACAAGGATCACTGATTCAAAGTCCTGGCCCTGCACAGGACACCCCAATAATCCCAGCCTGTGCCTATGTGTGTTCTCCAAATGCTTCTGGAGCTCTGGCAGGGTTGGCACAGGCAGGGGATGCTCTGTTCTGTGGTGTCAGGGCTGGTTTTCAGTCTCATTCTATTCCTTCTGGGGAACAGCAAACTGAGGCAGTTTTGTTGTGACATTCTAAGCATTCAGTGATGCTCAGCTTGGTGCAGGAGCAGCTGGGGACTCCTGATTACACTGATGGAGCCCAATGGCAGAGAAACAAGACAGGGTTCTCTGCCTACACCAGCTTGCCTGATGTAGCACTTTTGCTGCCTTCTTTCCTTCCCTGTGCCACCTGTATTGGTTCAGTGCACACCATATCCATTAATATCAATTCTGCTCAGTCTGATTTGCAAAATATCTCTCATTGATTGTCTCTCTAATTGTTCCATTGTAAATTCTGGTGTTCCTACCACCTTCTTTTTTTCCTCCTTATCTATTAGGTCTTGTTTCCACAAGCTTAAAGTTCCTTTTGTTGTGTTTCTTGGTTCAGATACAACAGTAGAACACTCTTGTTCCATGGTTGGAATTGTTTCTTTCTAAGTTTCTGATTGCTTTAATAAATAAGCCAAACAGATGAGCACTGATTGTAACTTTCCTCTTATTTTTGGTGCTGATGCCAATGGATGTCAGCCTCCCTTAACTCTGAGCACTGCATGGATTACTGGTTAGTAAATGTTTTAAGGTGCTTATGGATCACATGATTGTACTCTTCACTACTTGCTTTAGCCTTAGCTACTATGTGAATGACAGTCTAAGAATATAAATTAGTAAATTACCTGGTACTTTGTGTTAGAGGTTCAGTGTTCCACCCCTTTGTTGTTTTCAGAGTTAGAAGGTTGGAGCCAGCCAAGATTTATGTGATGTTACTTTTTCCATGGATGTGATGCAAAAAAAAAAGAAAAAAGAGTTATTCATCTCCTATCACTAAACCTTTCCAGCCTTGTACATGGAGCTTTTCTATTTGTTGTGAAACAAAATGTTAGAAGTGCTTAAGAGTGGCACAGTGATGATCTCTGCTGTGTTGGCTGTCCCTGTGCATATTCATCACAAGTCTGTTTTTGCACCAGTACAGTTTGTGTAGTTTAGGATTTCTTTTCTGTGGATCTGGGATACCCTCTTGTGGATCACAAAGCATGTTGAAGTTCTGTGACAGATTGCAGCCTACTTCCTGTAACGAGTTGTTTCATAGAAAAACATGAAATAAAATAAGTAACTTGTTTTTTCTCCAAGGTTTCCTCAGGATAAACCACAGTGCAGCCTTACAAATGTAATTCCTGGGATATAATTCTGGTTTGTTTTTTGTTGTTGTTGTTTTTTTTTTTTTTAATGTAGAATATTTAAGTGGCTAACCAAGGAGTTAATGAAATTTACTGATGTAAAAAAGTGAAGATGGTCTTTGCATTAATAAGGACGTAGATAATAAAAGCAGGAACCTGCAGCTGGAGCACTTTTATCAAGACTAGGGAAGGCTCTTGCTCTTCTGCCAGTGTGGTCCTTGCTTTGTCAAAGGGTAGATACACTCTTCTGAATTCATAATGTTTTAGAAACCTTATCAGCAGGGACCTCTGGCATGGTCCTGTACAAAGCTCATGTACAAACCTTATTAAAAAGCACATATGTTTGTTGCCAAGGAAACATAAGCCATTAAGCCCTAGGAACATAATTCATAAAAACAAAATTTTAGCTATTAACATCTACTTTCTCCATTAGTGCCACGAAACCTCCATGAAACAGCCTTGCAGTCTCCAGCTAATGGATGTGACAGAACTGAGCAGGAGGAGGGAAAAGAGGAATTGCAACTCACTGAGCTCCAAGTACTCAGTGAGCAGAGTGCAGCACCAGGTTTGTTTTCATCTCTTGTGCTCAGGAGGCACTGAGCACCTGTTTGTCCCACTCCTGTTACTGTTCCTTATCAGCCACATCAAAGACAAGTCTTTGCTAAGCAGGGAAAGATCAGGCTTGCATTTTCCAACAGGTCTATTTGGAATATGAAAATAAAAATTAGGCTTGGGAAAGGAAAAAGTGAAGTATTAGGTATTGGTTTCAAATTTAATATCTTAGTAATTTTAGTTTTTACTTCTCTGGATTTAGTATGTGTATTCTGTTATAATTAGCACATGTTAAACAATGGGTTTAACATGAATTGTGCTTATAGATAGCATTTTTAAATTTTTTGGTTCTTTTGGTCATTCTCAATTTGTTCTTAAAATCTGTAAGCTGTATTCTTCCACTTCATCCTTCTCTTTTTGGGAATTAAATTGGATTCATTAATTGTTTTGCATCCTAATACTGCAAAGTACTTAGGAATTTCTTGTGAAGACTCTACTGTGGCTACACAGGTGTTCTGTGCCAAATTTCCACTGTACTTGTGTTCCAGGAAATATTTCTAGGAAAAAAAATTAGGAGTAAAGTGAATGTGGCTCAATTTTTTCCTGGTCTAAGGTACTGGTTGCCACTCTAAAGTGCTGTCCAGGACCACAGTCAGGATCCTAAGGCTGGCCTGAGTTATTGTTGACACTTTTTAGTAATGCATGTTCAGCTTTGGGATCAAGAAGCCAAAGTGAACTCAGGGTCATTACTGCACTTTATTCTCAGCCATTCCATGGATTTTGAACCATCACTTCTGGATTTGAGAGCAGAATTAACATTGCTGTCTGGAAAAAGTGCTGAATTTACTGTAGTGGGGTAAGGCTTATGAATCACTGGGATATGTAGCCACAGTCTGCAAGTCATCCATCAGCAATTTAGTGTAATAAATCAGTTACATTCAGTTGATAAATTCTATTGCCAGCTTTTCCCAAAGTTATTTGGGCACCTCTCCTGCAGCTCTGGAGAGGTCTGTGTATGAACTGGACAAATGGTGGTTAGGAGCTCCCAGACTTTGCCCCCACAGCCCCGATGTGGTTTCAGCTCCCATACAGTTTTGCTCAGATTAGTCACAATGAAGTTGGGCTCTGAGGTGCACTCTGTTTTCTCCAGGGCTTGATGGGCCTTTGCCTGATAACATTCTCAAGGATTTGGCAGTGAGTGATTAGTAAAAAATGAGTATATGGCACTATTGAGTTTTTCAGCTCCATAATTGTAAGAATTACAATTTGTCAAATCTCTGACTTGTGAGCCTGTGATAGCAGACCTGAGTGCAGAGATGAGCTTGTCAAACAGCCTTGTACAGTAGGGTAGATTTAAAGAAAAGGAAACGTGTCAGGGATCTCCAGATAACATAACTTAGTTTGAAGTGTGCCTCCAGATAACATGAAGGGCAAGGCTACCTTCAAAGCTAGATCAGTTGCTCAGGGCTTTGTCTGATCAGATTTTGAAAACCGCCAGGAATAGAGATTTCTGTCTTTCTAGACAACCTATTTCAGGACCTGAGCACTCTACACTGAATTTTTTCTCTTCTCTATCCACTCATGATTTCTCCTGCCCCAATCTGACCACTGCTTCTTGCCCTTGCACTATTGCCTCTAAGTGTCTTTATCTTACATGTAATTACCCTTTAAATGTTTGATTACTACTACTAAATGTTTGATTACTAGTTGGATTCTTTTCCCAAACCTTCTCTTCTTGAGGCTAAACACACTCAGACCCTCAGCCTCTCCTCACATGCCATGTGGTGCAGACACTTCACTATTTAGTGACCCTTCCCTGAGCTCTCTGCAGGTTACCAGTGTCACCTCGGTGACAAAAAGCCCAGGGTGGGACACAGTGTCCCACAAGGACAAGCAGGGCTCCCTGTCCTACCTGCTGCCTGTGCTCTGCCAGTGCAGACATTGCTGCTGCAGTGTTAGTGCTTGCTGTTAGCACAGGGTACAAAAGGATGTCCTCAAATGATCTGTGTCCTGAAATCCATGTGTTTTCCTCTGCAAAGCAGGAAATCAGGACAATTGTATAATGCAGAAGTTTGTGGAGAAGTTTGTTCTTTGATATTAGCTTTTTTCCAAGTTCAGTGTCTGGGAAAACACAGAGCTACTGCAAGGACACTTGAGCCTCATGAGTGCCTGGATGCTGTACCATTTCTGATCTCCTATTCAAACACAATATGCCAGGCTGTGGCAAAAAGCATCCTGAGACTGGGAGAGACAACATTTCTGTTACTGGTGGGGACTCCAGTGCCTATTTGGCAAAACAGCAACCAGCATGGAACAGGGACTAAGCAGTGACCTTGAAACCTGGCCCTGCACTGCACTATTTTCAAGCAGTTTGGGACTTCAAATCTGCCACTACAATCTGGGAGGTGACCCCAGCCATGTAGGAATTTCTTGGCCATTTGTTATGGATGCACAAGTATTAGTAGCAGGCTTCCCTTGTGCAGCTGTAGGGAGTTACCTTTACTGCTCTGACAGTGAAGGTGTCCCTTCCTGTGTCCAAAATGTTGAAGAAGTTTGTCTTGATGGATGTTATTTAACAGTGATTTGCTCATAAAGGTCACCTCAGCTCTAACATGGTCTGAGGCCGTGGTGGATTCACTGAAGCATCTGACTGTGGTGAAAAGTCTTACATGGTAAAATGAGTCTCCTTTCTCTTACTGCCAGTTGTTCTGGACCCTTAAGGAATCATTAACAAGTAGTAAAATAATAGCCATTCTAAATGACTTGGGTGTCCTGTGATTGTACAACAATGATTATTAATCTCTACCCCTTGTGATCTCCTTGGAGAAAGTACAATTTAAGTACTATTTCAGTCAAGTGAGGTCATGTCTAATGTATGAACATGTAAAAGTAGCTTTTTATGTGTTTCCTAATTTGGATACTCAGCTTTCTTATAGAAACTCCTATTACTGACAGATAGGAAATCTCTCAGAATTTTTGAAAGTGTCAATTTCAGGATGTAGAAAAAAACCCTAAAAAGTTACAAATATACAATTTTTCAGCAAACACATGTGCTATTCTTCTGACAACTGAAAGGGCCTCACTGGTATTGTCATCAATTTTTTTTTTTTTAATTAATGTGTGATTTGTTTGCTCTCTAAAGTATTACCATCAAATTTTATCTGTGAGCACAAATGGAAGCTCAAACTCTTAACTGTCCCTCTGGGCTACACCCAGAGTGTTCTGGAATGTGCATCTCCCATTCTATCTGTGATCTTTGCATGATGTTCCCTAAACATTTACTCTTCTTTTGCATGAGCTTAAGGGAGGACCACCGACATTTGAGGAGTTAGAAGAGATTTTTGCTCTTGTGGGATAGATCTGTCAGAGCAGATGTGAGCTTGTATTCCAGTGGGATGTATTCCCTCTGCGTGTCATCTGTCTGGGTGGTGTTGGAAGCTGCATTCTTGCCTGGGGTGACTTCAGTCCTCCCCTGATCTGCACAGGTCAGTCTTACAGTCCTCAACACAGTTTTCAATAAGCAATGTTCTGATGATGTGAAACGTTTTAACTGATACTGAAAAATGCATTCCAAATTTTACACACCCTTCTTAAACATAGTGTTCTACACGGTGCAACTGCATGTGAATCACCCCAGTTCACACCTGCAGGGTTGTGAAAGTACCAGGTTTCAAAGCTCCCCGCCTTGTCCCTCTGTTATCAGTGCCAATCTTCCTGCCAGTGCCACCCTGCTCACACTCCCAGCCTGTGCTATCAGCCAGGCTGTCAAAAGCTTTATTCCATGGTCCTTGTTTCTCATAGCTCCACATATGGATTTTGTGTGCTGTGCTAGTGTATGGGGGAAAGCACAGGAATTATTACTGTGGGGACAAGAAACAGAACAAGTGCAGCTGCTGGACAGGCTGGATGGAGTTAAGACCTGTTCTGTGGATCCATCACAGATCCTGCTGGGCCCTGAGCTCCCTGGCAGCTAAACGGGCTCTCAGAGCTACCCAAGCCCACAGGAGCTTTTCCTTTCAGCAGTATTGTTTGAAAAATAGGTGAAGTTGTTATGTTCTGCTGTTAGAATTGTTCTTTATTAGGCTCTTATTGACTTCCCACTCCTAATTCCTAATAGTATCCTTCTCCGGCTTTAAAGAAGTAAACTGCAGAAGTGAAGTCCCCATAAAACCAAAATTACTTTCATGAGGGTTTTTTTGGAGGGGATGGGGAACTAGGGAAAAAGGAAAAGCATTCCAGGGATTTCTCTCTGTTGCTTTAGTATTGGTATAATTATCCTATATCTGGATGTGTCATTGTTTCCATTTAACACTGCTGAGCTGAATAATTTGGTGTATGATAGTAAATGTTATGCTAGGCTGTAGCTATAGATTGCGCCATGGGTTGGATGGATGAAAAATATTGCTGTAATGACTGGTTTGGGTACAAATGATGATTTTGTATCAAATCTTGGAGCAAGAGCCTCGCACCACTGAAGAGAAAGATGAAAGGATACAGTGCTGAATTTTTAGTTGCTTTATGGAAATTCTGGGATGGCAGGAGTGCACAGAACTGCTCCAGGAGGTTTTCTCCGTGAAGAACATTTCTTCTGGTGGAGAACATCCATAAGTGAGCCCCACTGTCACCCCCTGTATTCCCTCGGCTCTGTAGCAGTTTGGAGAATACCGGCTCGTCCAGTCAGTCGGGCCTTCTGTTTGCAGCTCACAGATAACAGCGAAGATACGGCTTTTGAAGCCAGTGTATTCCTAAATATTCTCCTCCTTGTGCCTGAGTGGTGCATTCTTAGGCGTAATCAGCCTCTGTGCTCCTGGAACAAAGGGGCAGGTGGCTCTAACTTAGGGAATGCTGATGGTCCTCCACTGCTGCCTCTGCTTTGAGCACCGCAAATGAGCACAAATGAGTTTGAAACGTGAGGTTTCAACCATCAGCGAGCTGCCTCCAGCCGGGGTGAGCTGTGCCACAGCTGGGGAGCTGATCTGCCTCAGCGGGGCTGCAGACGTGTTGGAGAGTTTCCTTCCCGTGAAGAGACAATTATATTTAATTATCAGTTTGTCTGTCTCAGTGTAGCTCCTTACATCACCAGGTGAGGAAACAGATCTCGCTGCTCCCGTAAAGAGCAAGTGGGAGGTTTTTGATGCTCTGCTGCCAGTAAACACTCATCTAAAAATGTGAGCGACCAACCTGTGCCTCAGTCAACATCCCGGAAACATCCACACCCATCCATGGGTCATCTCTCATCGTGTCCTGATGTCTGGTACACGTGGAGAAATCCTCACCTCAATGCACACATGCATTGAAATAACATAGATCTAATGGAGAAAACTATTGATTTCTGAACTCCATGAACTATAAAGCCTTTCCGAAATGTTCTTCTTTCTACAAAATGACCTTTAAAGTCTATCCAAAGACTTCATCACAGTTATTGTGGGGGAGGTACCTCTGCAGAAAGGTACCTGGTAATTTATTGATATTTTTTGTTTTCAGATATCAGTATATTTTTCACACAATTCTTTATTGCCACTTCTCTCCTTTCTTTTCCCAACAGTAATCTTTTTCCAAATAATCTGTTTTATTGTTGGCTGGGAGGATTTTGTTGATTTGTTTGCTTTTCCTTCCCCCTCATAGGGATTTATTTGCAGTCAAATTTTTCACTTTTATCCTGACCAGAGATTTCTTAAAGAATATTTCCCCAGGTTCTCCCCAACAATGTTTTCTGTTCTCTCTCATTTTCAAGAAGCTTCATATATATTTTGTAGAATATTATTAAGATTTTTGTCTCCATTTAATTTCTCAACCAAACACTTTACAAACATTTTTAACTGAAGAGCCCCTGGGACCCTGTGGAGCAAATTGGACATTAATATTAGGCTATGACATTAGTAGATTATGGTCTTTTCCCCTCTTCACTTAAATTTCTTTAATCAGATGAAACTGTCAGATAAAATAAATAATAATATATTTGTTGCTGTTTATTGCTGTAGGGCAATCAAAACATCCCCACAAAGGCTGAGGCTGTCTGTTGTTCAAGAATAATTACATTGGGTTTGATCAAATCAAGTAGGGCAACCAAGGCTTTCATTGGGTCTCCTGGAAAAGTGGAGAATTATTTCAGTGGAAGGGGCCTCAGCAGCTCAGCTCCTGTTCATTTCTCTCCTGTATTTTATGCAGTTGAGATACTCTTTTCCCTTAAATGTTTCTGGAACATGAGTGTTAAAAATACTTGTGAGAGCTGGGATGATATTGTGCAGCTCCTTTGCATAATTCCTTCTGTTATTCAGGTTTAACAATAGTAGAAGTATGCATGGCAGGCCAGCATGTATCCATCTCTGAAAAATGTTTTTCTGGACACATTGTTTCAAGGGAAAGGGGAAATCCCAAAAAGGATTAGCAAGACTCTAATATATACAAAATATAATGGATTAGATCATGAGGATAATATATAATGTCCTGTGTAATTTAGTCTATTATTTATGAGATAATAATGATAATAATAATAATAATATTTCTGTTTTAATGAGAATGCTACTCAATTGAGAAGTTGCTTGTGGGGGATTAACCTGCCCTGCTATCAGGTGGCTAAAGCTGGTGACAGCCTGCATTGGCTTTGGGGAGTAATTTTTAATCTGTTATTCAACTTTATTAGTCCCAGTGGAAATTTCAAGCCCATCTCTTGCCATTAGTCCTCCTCTGTTAACCTCCTTTAATATAAAAATTAATAAAACACTAATAAACCCAAAATAAATTAAATTATGTGCTGTCTTGGCCCATTTTGTAGGAAGAATGCAGCCCTGAGATTGTTGTTTTTATAAGATTGGCAATGCTGAGATACTGCAGGGCTGAGTGTACCTAGTGATCACACAGAGATAATGAAGTCAGTTGCTGAAGAAGTGAATGTATTTCCTTGCTTCATTTCTGTTGGTCTGTCTGCATAGAGACCTATTTTTATGTCCTGATATTTCTCCTCTGTAGAGATACTAATCAGAAAATTAGTCTTTAAAGTGTTCATTTTTGTTATCTCTTTTGTCTCTTGATAAATACGTGGTTTTGTTCATGTTTCTTAATCTGATCCTCTCCCTGAATAAGAATAGAATGACCTTGCTTTCTTTCAGATAACCTTTTAGGAAAACACCTGTTTTCCTGCTGATTTTTTTTTCTATCTACGTCATACCTACTGGACTTCAGCTCTTTTTTCCTTTTAGTAATTCCTCTTCAACTGATTGCACATTTTGTTTTCCTACATTTTTGTCATCCTTCTGTGACTAATTCTTTGAATTAGAACCAGGTTCTGCTCACTTAATCAAGATTGCAGAAAGAGAAGATGGACTTTTGACATCAAAAAAAAGGCGTTGAACAATTCTCTAACTGCCACCCTCAATTATTAGAAGCATATTAAGAAACCTGTGCTGAGAGCCTTTGTATTTATATTTTGTCCACTTGAAAATATGAACTCTTTTCCAAGTTCACACCAGATGACTAGGAAACCATCAAAGGAGGGTAGACAATTTACTAACATAGTATATGGCCTTCTGCAAATAAAATAATTACGAATTTTTGTCTGTGTTTGTCCTTCGTTACTTGTACAAAGGATAAGTTAGCGTTTCTGAAGAGCACCCCAAAGAAATCTACTTGCTTTATCAAGAGATGTGGAGGAGTGCCAGGGAAGAGATTAGAGGAGTTCCTCCATGGGAAGTCCTTTGCGTGCTGATGCATTTTTCCCTTTGTTTGTAGTTTATTTGTTTTACCATTGCTTAATAATTTGTCATCCTCAGAAGGAAGACTTTTATGCACAAGTTTGTAAGAGGCTTGGCTAAGTGCCAGTAACTTACATTTTCTGTGCTACAGCTCCATTTTCTGAGGACAGCACAGCAATTGCAGCTTCTACCCAGTTCCTGGGTAGAACCCTCCAGAATGATGAGTGACCCACAGAAGCACATTGCTAGCTGAGAGTGAGGAAAAGAAATGCCTGTTGTGTTCTGATGGGTATTCACTCATCACGTCAGGAGATTCACTCCTGCTTATCTTTGAAAGCTTTAACACAAAGAAAGATTTAGCCTATTTCCAATCTGAAAACCTGCCTGACTTTCAGTGCATACCTTTTTATGCACTGAATTCAAGCAGTGAATCATTGGGTACACCAACAACCTACAGTGCTTCCAGGTTTCTCTCTGGGCTGCAGATATGAGGATGTGGAGATGAGATATTCAGAGCCTTGACAAAGCTGCCTCCCCTTCTGACAGTCTTGTAGATGATGTTGGTTTCTGCTTAGTTGCTGTTTGTGGCCTACAGAAATAAAAAAAAAATTGTTTCCACTGCACATAAAGATAGGAATTGTGTGATTAGTATTTTTTAGATGTTGATTCTCCATTAGTGTTTCAAACCTTGGAATTTTGTTGGTGTGGCCACACTAGGAGCTGTGGACAGAGGCCGCAGCATTGCTCAGCCTCTGAGCTCCCTTCTGCAGAGGCTGGGGTGAGAACACAAGGCACATCAGGTAGATCAGTTCCTGACTAATGTTTTCCTTTGCTTGCCTCTGTAGACTGACACAGAAATGGAATTCACGAAAACTAAACTTTTGGTTAGCTGTAAGGAGCTGGAGGAATATGCGTCAGTCTCTGTAAAGAAGTGCCATCTGCAGCCTATCTTAGGCAAACTGTTTCCTGATAATTAAGGTTAGTAAATAAGTCTTTTATTTTCCACTGAAATACACAGCAGGGAAGGTCAGAACTAATGGGATTTTTGGATGCTCAGCAGCTTCCAGGGTTAATTTTTTCTCTGTTGGATTTAAAGCTAACATTTCACAGTCATGTAGGACAAACTGAAGAATGTGTTTGGGAGAGATGCCTAAACTATCAAAGGGTAGCACTGTTTTATAAGAGTATAGCTGCTCAAACAATAGAGAGATTTAAAAGTTTCACTCTTTTAAGTAATCCCATTGTATTATAGGTTCTTTGCTGCTTTTTATTAGCCACAATTACCACAGGGTAGTTTACCCAGGAGAAAATCGTTGCCAATGAACAGAGTGCCAGCCCTCAATTTCATCTCCGAGGAAATAACACCTGCAGGATCAGTCAGGCCTGCTGTGCTCCCCATGTCCTTGACTGCTTGTTCTGCTCAGTGTCACTGCAGGTCACATTTTACACCCAAAAGGCTGTAAATGAATAATGATTCTCTAATATCAAACAGGGAATGGGACTCTCAAATATCCCCAGAGCCCAGAAATGTGCCTGGCACCCAGATACATTGTTCTAAATACCCTGGATTTCTCTGACCCCTTCTAGCTCAGACAGGATCATGGGCATCATCTGGGGAAGCTTCCTTACTCAGAGCTGTGAGAATCTGTCTATAACCAGTGTGTTCCACATCTTTGTGACCACTTGTTTTGCTTAGCTTAATTCTGAAGTCAGAGGAGCAAATAAAGGCAGAGAAGACCCAAGCTTTCATGAACTTTGAACTTACTCAAATGTGAAGCTGATTAGCTACAACAGAGAGAGCCAACACCATGGTCTAAACAGCCTGAAATTCAGCCCAGTAAGCTCCTGGGTCCAGGTCTTGTGTTCACATGCATCTTTACCTGTATCCATGTGAGAGATGGAAGCAGATTCAAGTTTTTTTCTTCCTGGAAACACAGGTCTGTTTCTCCATTGACTAATGCTGCTGGGTTGAGAGATGACACAGAGGTTGTCCCAGATCCTGGACCCCTGGGTTTTCCCCTGGTGCCAGGTCACTCCTCACAGATAATTGCTTACCATCATCAACTAAAAGAACTACATCTTCCATGACTAGATTTACAGGTACAACCACTTAAAAAAAAAAAAAAAAAAAAAGTATTCACCCACAGTGAGGTAAATATGCAGGTTTATTGCAGCCAAGCCACTCCTTTCTGTGTCATTCCTTCTCAGACATCTGCTCGTGGATGTTAAAACCCTGAGCACCTTTGGCAGGGACACTGAACTGTGAAATCTGCAGCACCTGTAACAGAGGAGGACTCTCTGGGAAAGAGTTGTCCAAGGAAAAGCAGCAGTTTCAACTTGTGTCCCACTGGAGACAAGTGAATCTGAAGTTATATATTATATACGACATAGGTGATGACAGCAGTTTATCATTAACCTGAACTCTGCAAGAAGCACATAAGGAGAGAAAGAAGAAGAAAGCCAGAGAAGCAGCCAGGATGGAGCCCATCATAAGGATCAACAATGCTGCAGACATCTCTGTTATTGTTGCCTACTTTTTGGTAGTTCTGGCAGTGGGACTATGGGTATGTTGGGATTTTATTTTACTTAATGAGCAGGTAGATTATAGAGTCTTGGCAAAATAGCTTAGTAAGGGAGAATGTGTAATTATATAAAGATTTTGATGCTTAATTGAAATAGTTAACAAGTGCATGGTGGGCAAAATGTGGGCATTAATTTACATTAGAGGGGATGGTGACCCGGGGAGGCATTCCTTTGAGTGGATGAATGGAACCAGTGGGGAAGGTGGAGTGATGGGGTTTGTGTGGGATGGAGCCGAGAGATGCGATCGGTAGAGATCAGCCAGGGCCCCTCTTAGGAACAGGCTGGGCCCGAGAGGTGGCGTTTGCCCGCGGAGCACCGGGGCTGCGGGGAGCTTTGGTGCTGTGAGGTGATGCCTGGGAAATAGTGGGGAGGGGGAGTTGCAGGGGTGGGAAGGAGGGGAGCCGTGTGCGGCGGGGGTGGGGTGGTGGCGTGGCAGCACCGGTAACACGGGGACAGGGACGGGACAGGGACCGGGACAGGGACAGGGACAGGGATAGGGACGGGACAGGGACAGGGACGGGACGGGGACAGGAACCGGGACAGGCACAGGGACGGGACAGGGACAGGAACCGGGACAGGCACAGGGACGGGACAGGGACGGGGACAGGGACAGGGACCGGGACAGGCACAGGGACGGGACAGGGACAGGGACGGGACGGGGACAGGGACGGGACAGGGACAGGGAGGGGACGGGGACGGGAACGGGGACGGACGGGACGGCAGAGCCGCCTCGGCAGAGGCTGCGGGTGCCGTTTGAGGGCAGCGCTCCGGGGCTGTTTCTGGGCTCCGGGATGCAGAGACATCGTGGCTGAGGGCAGGACCAGTCCCGGGGCAGCAGGCGCTGCAGGTGCTGCCGATGCTGCAGGCGCTGCAGGCGCTGCAGGTGCTCGCCGGGAGCCGGGGGAGAAAAGCAGCTCCCAGCGCTGGGACCTCGGAGCTGAAGCGTTTGAGAGAATGGGCCGATGCACTGAGCTGCAGTGGGGGGAACAGGGGAACGGCTCTGAATTCGGGTTTCCCTGGGGCAAGCCCTCCTGGTCACCTGAACGCCTGACCAGTAACAAGCAGAGAGCAGGGATTGCCCTTCAGGAATTCTCTGCTTTCCAGGAGAATCCCAGGAACATTTCACAGTGCAGAAAAGTCAGCTGCAGAACAAACATCCCTTTCTAACAATCTGACAATATTTTGAGGGGCACCACCAATTTACAGTTTGCACAAAGTGGACGCAGTCTTTTCTTTGCCTCTTCAGCGCAGGAGTAGAGGCCAAAATATAGCTAAAAATCTGAAGCCCCAGTCCATCAGAACACCCTGTTGTCTGGCAGGAGGGAACTCGGTCTTACCATGAGAGTCTGGCTGTTGCTGTAGTTGAACTTCATGTTAAAGGTCTCTGACAATAAGGGGCTGATCTCTGGCTTCTCAGCCATTGTGTGCTGAGTTAATTCCCAGAGCCTTGTCTTTCCAGCCATGAAGACACCAGTATTGGACAAATACTTACTCAGTTACAATACACACAGTTACTGTGTGTAGTTAAATGTAAATCCATCATATTTACTTCCTTTCTTCTGCATCAGAAGAAAATATATGGATAATTTTCCCAGGTCTTCTTTCTTTATTTACCTGTTCAAAGTCCATCAGAGATGATAATGGAAATTCAGTAAATAATGGCTCAAGGTCACTAATAAAAATTGGAGGAAACTTCCCTCTAAAGCCCATCCCTTGACAAAGACAACATGAGTGTGTAGAAAGGAAATTTTAGGTGGTTTCTTCTTTTGGAACTTCAGAGGGAATCAGGTACAATGCCGATATCACAACAAGAAAACAGATACCTGTAGGGGCAGGATGGTATTGAAAAAAAGCTGCACACTTTCTGTTAATAAACTTGCACCTAATAGTCTATTTTGATGCCTGAAAGCAAAGGCTTTTCACCCCAACAAAAAATTCATGTGAGCTTTTACTTGAGTGATATTTTTTCTTGGTTAAATTTAGTTTTATTTATTGTTTCACACTATAATGAAAGGTGAAGGAATGCAATTTGAATGGTTAATGCAGACCTAGATAAAAGATTCATTGTTCCATTGTTTTATTTTCTTCATCATAAGGTTGTTCTTTTTAGCCACTCTTTCTTTCACTTTATCCTGCCTGTGTGTTTTGTTATCCCTTCATTCTAGCTGTTCTCAGCCTGTCTATAGCTTGCCTAGTGCACTTGAAATATGATTAAAGCCTCTTTTTCCCTTTTTTCCAGGCTATGTACTCCACCAACCGAGGCACGGTGGGTGGATTTTTCCTGGCTGGACGGAGCATGGTGTGGTGGCCGGTGAGTGCTGTGTGCTGTGAGTACAGAAAACCCAGGCTGTGCCTCGGCACCCTGGCTCTGTCCAGCCCTTACATCAAGAGCTCTGTGACACTGCTGAGGCTGTGGTGGCTTTGTTGTGTGGCTGCAAATCCAACTCTTTCTCCAGCTGTGGTGTCACAGGGCAGGTGCACAAACAGAGCCATGGGATGGGCAGGGAAGAGTGTTGGGGGAAGTTGTCTGAGCTGTCTTGATTATGTGATCAACTTTGAATATAAATACACTGATAATGTCAGTACAGACAAACCCAGTGCTTTGCCTTTCATCCCACTTTAAAACTTTTCAGCATTTGGACTCCATTCTTTTCATTGCACTCAAAGCTGGCTCATTTTAAGGTTATCACAGACAGGAATTAATTTACTGAAATTTCCCCCTTTATTGCTTTATTGTTTCTACTTTTGGTAAGAAGTTCTGGTCTGTATAAGGAGAAAAAAATCCTGGAAATGTTCTGATGTGTTATTAGTAAAATATATCTTAAATGTATTTAAAGATTAGCTGTGGCTTACCTTGATTGTCTTCTGTGGATCTCTATTGTCTTCCAAGGTAGAGAACAGGAGCCAAAGCTACAAAGTGTTTTTAGCCATCCATTCCATCAGGCTGTTTGGCAGAAATTATGTTAGAAACAATTGTCTATTTCTTCCTGATCATACAGTCTCTTTAATATGAAAAGCAGACAACTTAGACAAACCTGCATTTTCTGTATTACTGGAATACAGAAGATAGAATCGTGTTTTACATGATTCCATTTGTTTGAATGGAATTCCTCAACACTTCTGATCTTGCATTCAGTCTCAGAAAATGTTTCTGCACTTCATTAAGGTTTGGGAGTCAAGACTCCACACACATTGATTCAGTTACAGGACCAGAAGTCTGAGAGTAAATATTGGTTCCCTAAAGATTTAGGAATTTTCTTGAAGTAGGCTGCAGAAGCACCTTGCAGTCCTGTGCTTCAGAGAGCTCTCGGCCTTTAGAAGGCATTGGACAGCCTCTTTAAGGACATGAAAGGATTAAAGGCCAATGACAGTAAAAGATTTCTTCATCTGATGTAGTAGATCTAAGAAAATTCAGGTTCCTTTGGAAGATTGAGGAAAGAGAGTTTCTAAGTTATTTTAGGATTAAATCAGATTACTCTATTTAGCTGTCACTTGAATCAGGGGGATGGTTTTAACCTTGTGCCATTCTGTCTGCCTGTCAAGAGGATATGAATATCCTTTTGTGCAGATGTAAATAGAGATGGAGGCAGCAAGGCAGCAAAGGCTCACCACAGGAAAGTTCTGTCTTGCTCCAGTGGCACTGAGAACTCCTACTGATCCCCCTGAGACTTGGGGGACAGGATCTGACCCCGAGTCCTCTGCCAGCACAAACCCAACAGACCCAGTAAGCTCACCTCCTCCAGGGGAAGCCAACAGGGATCACCCCACAGTTCCTGCCAGGATCCCCTCCCTCCTTCCCAGGCTCTGTGAGCTCAGCATGGACAAAGTGCTGGTCCTCGGTGCAGTCCTAGATCTCTTCAGTCCTTCCCTTTGGAATGCCAGGAGTGGCTTCCCATGCCATAAAATGAACCCTTCTTGCTATTCTTCTTCGTATCACTCAAAATAAACAAACAGCAAGCACTCCAAAACCACAAACTAAATACCATGTCAGCAGCACCACCCTGGGAAGTTTGCCTTGGATAAAAAGAGATTCCAAAACACCAATTCCCAAAGCTTAGCAGGTAGATGGGATGTCCATCACCCAGAGCAAACTGGGCTGAAATGATGAGGAAATCAATGAAAGTATAGAAAGTTTAGTCAGAGATGTGAACTCAGCTCTGTAGCTGCTAAAGCTGTGTGTGATGTCTTACTTTGTGCTTTGACTTCTCTTTTGTGCCAAGTCAGGGCTAACCTGGGATAGTTCTGGATAGCCTCAGTGCATTTCCACAGGCAGGGTGGGGGCAGTTGTTTCGCAAGTGGACCCTTGTTTGTCAGATTTCTCCCCTGCCATTTCAGGATAATGACCCTTGTCATGTAATTGCTTTCTGGAACAGAACAAAATGAAGAAAAAAATCCTTCCAAAAACTTGGTATAAACTGAATTCCCCTAAACTAATTGCATTTTTCAGTTGTTGTCTGTATTCTATGCTCTGCAGGGCACCCACAAGTGGCTTTTCTGACCCTAGAGGGAAGGAGGCTCAATTAGCAGTGTGTTAGGATCTCTTACTGACAAGCTGGGAAAGGGATTCTCTTCACTTAAACCATATAATGTCTGTGATTTGGTAGACTAGAGGAGACCCTGGTAATGAAGGGCTAGAGATTATTCCTACTTTTAATATGGATTTTGAATATTTGTCAGTCACTGGCAAACTGATTGTGATTTGATTTCTCAATGTATAAAGTAGGACCAAGACACATCCTGGGCCAAATCTGTCCTGCTTTGGCTCTAATTGTTTTGCTCCAGCAGAATCCAAGAAAGTTGTTCAGCATTTTGCAGAACCAAGCCCAGAGACAGTCTTCTGGCTGAGGTGAGAGCTCACTTCACTGGAATCACTGTCCTTGTGCAGTGGCTGAGTAATCTCAGTAGTTCCATGGCTAATTAGGGTAAAGGGATATAAGAACATTCTCAGAGATCACCTGAAACTGAAATCTGTCATTATTAGCCATAATGTAAGAAATGCTTACGAAATGCTATGCCCTTTACACTGTCTTCTTGTAGAAACTGAGAGAAGAATCTTCGAGAAACTGGTTTTGGTCTCTTGGGCTTTGAGGGAAATATCTTCAGGAAAGACTCATGGCTCTTTAAATCCTCATATTCAGCTCTGCTTTTTTCCAAAAAGAGACAGAGAAGTTCAAGGCAAGTGACAGCTCTTTAGCAATGGGCCTTGCCAACTTCAGCTTCCTTTGCCAGATGAAGGAGTTGGGTTCAGCCAAATGTTTCCTGCCATTGTAGGACATGAAGTATCTGTTCCTGCAGAACAGTCAGCTTTGGTAGCAGCCACTCTCACAGGATTAACATCCCTTCGTGCACAATTAAAAAACCTCAAACTTTTGAAGCTTTCCTGCTTTTGAATTTTCTTCTTCAGGTTCTGCAGTTTTGCAGACAGAGCTGTCTGCACAAAATTATGGGTTACCTTCTACACCTCAGTTCCTGAGGCATGAATGGTAATAGGACAAAGAGTATCTGCTGGGCATGTGAAGGCCAGCTCTGTGAAAAAGATTTACTGAGCATTAGTGCAGGGTCAAGGGCACTCCAAAGAGAAATGTAACTCAGCTTGTTTCTGATCATGTACATTTAGATCTTTGTCAGACAGATAAGAATTAGGGGCAAAAATCCCAATAGATTCTTACTTCAGCTGTGCACAGCTTATCTTTGTGGCCATCAGAACAGACACTGGCATGATTTCTCTGATCTCTGCAGCCAGTTAAGTTTTACATAGTCTCAGATTCTGCCCACTTGCTGAATCTGACACTGTTATGAGGAACCAGGAACAGCAATTCTGCTGTCAATAAGATTTTCACTTCCTTTACTTAGGTAAAGTAGAAAAATGAAGTAATCAAAGCAAAACTCTGATAGAAAAGTGAAATCAGTGAAATGGATTTCTACAGAATCCATGAGACTTTCCAGCTGGCTGGGAGGTGTTTCTGTCTCAGAGTACAAAGTGGGGAGTATAAAACAGCTTGTGAGCCTGAGCTGTTCCAGGTTTGTTGGAGCACAGACATTTTGGTGATTATTGAACATCAATCCCTCCTGCTTAGTACGCTGGGAATTGTAAAGATGTGGCTTAATTGGGTAATAATGCAATTCACAGATTAATTGGGAAAGAAGAATAAAAGCCCACACTTCCTTCTTTGGGTCTCAGAGCTTTGGAAGTGTGGCAGTAATAGTGCATTGTACTGATTTTTCCAAAGTGACTAAGGGTGATCCCCAAAAACTCAGGTAGGAAAAGTAATGCCTTTGCATCAGAGTAAAGTCAGATTTCAGGGTAGAGCTGTTAGTTAAAGAAAAGCATGAACAGTCTCAAGGAGCAGGAATGAGAAACGTGTCAGGGAAGAGGGATTTGAGAAGCAGCTTCTGCAGGAGTGACCCTGTGGGGGGAGAGGATCCCCTGCTGTTCTAAGGATCAGTGGGGAAAGGTTTGGTACTGAGCTGATGCCTTCAGGAGGGTGGGCACGAGGGCAGGGGGACGTGCTGGCAGGTCCTGGCAGGGAGAGGAGGTGCAGGCTGTGCATTCTGCACACTGCCACTGCAGCTGCCACTGGCCTGCAGAGTGCATCCATCCAGCTGGGAATGGCCAGGGCTGGGATGTCACTGCATCCTCCACCTAATGACAAGAGCAAGGTGAAAGAGTTAATGAATAACAGGAAAAAACACAGTGGTCATCATCTGTTTCAGGGTGGTGCTATTTCTGCTGAACAGAATGCTCTTGTTAAGGCCTGACCTCTTAAAATATATTTAAAAAGTTAATGTTCCACATTTGCCTCAGGTTAGTTCAGGTTTTTCATCCTCTTTCCCTCTTAGCAGCTTTTGTCCCTTTCAACCAACTTTCTTCACCTTTCCTCCTAGATTTGTCTTTAAAGTCAGTTCACTCACACATTCACAGGGAATAGTTCCAGAAGATTGTTTCCCTCTGCCATTCCCAGTTCAGCCCAGAGTTTTTAAGTTGTTCAGCAGCATCTACCAATGGCAATTCAAGAATTCCAGTAATCAGTCTTTCCAGTACAAAAATCCCACAGCAGTAAGTCCTTCAGCAAGGCAGCTCGGGCCCAGAGCCCATCTACCTTCTTTCCTCATCCTTAAAATATGGCAGATGGGAAATTTCTCTTTCCCCTCTGGCACCAGCAGCCAATGGGGTGTGAGGGTATTTGGTCAGCACTCTGTGCTGCAGATTTCAGGGTAACCTGCATTTTCCTGGCTATGAAGCCATGTTCTCCCTTCCCAGGTATATGACATAACTGAAACCTATTTTTAAAATTGTATCCGTTATTAGTATATGTTGATCTTAAAGTTCTGCTGCACTGGATGTTCCCTAATTCAGAGAAAAAAATTTAAGATGTGAATGTGGGATTTGCATTCACATTGTTTTGTCCTCCTGCTGGTCCTGAATATATTGGTAGTTTTGCATGGTTTGGTTTGGTTCTGTATTTTTCTTTCAATACAATGATATTTTAGATAAATTTGAGGACACAGCATCAGCAGCATTGCCTGCAGTATGTCCTGAGGTTTCAGGCACTGAGCCAAAGCTTGTGCCTGTCAGTTCTCAAAGTTCTTCTTTAGCTGCTTTTGTTACTTGGATCTGCCTTTAAGCTTTTGAAACAGGAGAGGGAACACATTAAACAAAATCAGAGATTAATGTTGTTAATATTTTCTGGTGATTGCATTTCTAGTAACCTAGATTTAAGTTTAATTATTTATCTCCAAGGAAAGCATTGATCAAAAGTGCTAATGCTTGGTATAAGTGGCACCTTTTGCTTCACTATCATTTCTGGAAAACTGTTACTGTCACAAAGAGGTTAGAAGAAACAGAGGTCTTTTGTTTGCCAATGTTTGCTGCAAAACTTATCAGTCCTGTAGAAATGTCATATGATCAACTGGTTAGAGTTCTCTAGGGCACAACTGGCTTTTAGAAATGTGTAAAAAAATCCCAAATCCAGAACCAAGTGAACTTAGAAGCAGAAATTTCCTGTCACAGCAGAAGAACAGTTTGTCTGCAGAAAAAGACTTGAAGAAATCAGGAGATCAAACTGGGAAAGAGAAAAACAGTAAGCCTGGAAGAGAAGGAGTGGAGCCCTCTGAATTGTATTTGTGTGTTGCAAATAAAAACAGGGGAGGATAATCTATTTGTTATCAGTGATCAGGATTGTGGGTTGAAGAGCGTGGTTGCTATTTCTGGCTATGCCATTGCTCTGTAGAATAAATCTGCTCTGCAGAGATGGAATTCTGTGATGAAATCCTTCATCCTCTCAAAACTCAGGTGATCATCCCTGTGCTCCCAGAAACATTGATTGAATATTTTTTGCCATTCAAATCAGTTGGACTCAATGATCCTTGTGGGTCCCTTCCAACTCAGGATATTCCATGATTCAAATGAGAGCATTAGAAGACATCAGCAGGAATTCCCTTGGCTGCTTTCTATGTGGTTTTCTTTTTATTCCAGGTCGTTGTTGTTGCTGTTGTTTTAGTTTTCAGAGGATGTAAGAAAAAATAGAGAAGAATAAAAACTGTTCATTTTTCCATCTCAGAACTTTTCCAGCTTCCTTGTCTTTTGCCCACAATACTCAATCCAGTCCAACCTCTTTTTTATGCCTGGCTTCTCACCCTGCATCATTCAGTACCCGACCCAGTAAATTATCACTGGGTATTTCTGCAGCCTTTTAATGTGTTCATTTTGAGGAAATGAAGCTCATTCCTTTTCATCTTTTCTATTGTCTGAGATACTTGATTAAGAATTAGATCTTTGTGAATGTCTCCTGCCTGTCTGTAAACCAAGAGGAACCTTTAATTTTTTTAATCTCTCCCTGTTCACCAATTCCCATGTTCTCCCTACTGTTCTTTTTGTATGATCAGTGCAATATTTGGGGGTCTTAATGATCCAGCACTCCTTAATTCTAACTCCTTGGTTTACTATTGCTTCTAGCTTCCAGGAGCATTTTCTCAGCAGACATTTCTGCTATGCAGCTTTCAGAATTTTATTCAGTAAGCAAATACTTTTTGGCTAAAAGTGAACCAAGTCCAGCTCTCACCAATGGCACATTTGGATGCACAGGCTGTGCAATGTGGAACAGGGAGTGCAGGTTTGACAAGTGGGGATGCCCTTGTCATTCTCTCCTTGAACAAGGAAAATCACAGTCTTCTTCCCTGATTGCCTGGATATCATCCCAATGCCAGTTTGGCAAGTTTTGCAAACATTTAAAAATCTATGTTGATGTAATATATTTTTTGACTCAACTGGAAGATATTTTATTCAACATCCTCTTCTCCCTCACTATTGTAGATGTGATGGCTGGAGGCTCTGGTTTCAGTGGGAGCAATAAGTGGGAGTCCTGAAAGCTGTCATGGAAGTTGAGTGTCAGTCATTCTCATCATCACCACCACTACCACAGATAACTGTGCCAAATGAAGGGAATTTTTAGCAATTCCCACAAACATAAGAGCCAATTTTTGTTTTTTCTCTTTGCAGATCGGTGCTTCTCTGTTTGCCAGCAACATTGGCAGTGGGCACTTTGTGGGAATAGCAGGAACAGCAGCAGCTGGAGGAATTGCCATCGGAGGATACGAGTGGAATGTAAGTGGCAAATATGTCAGGGAAATACTTGTGATATCTGGATTATCTGCAGAGCTTAATCGAAATAACATTGCCTAATAATTTAGGACTGTCAAAGTTTGTGCTTGGCAGCACTTGTTTTCTGCACAGACCAGTAAGAGCCAATGTAATCCAGTATTTAACCTGTCTAAGCCACTGGAAAAGGTGACACTTTTCTGTTGAGGTTTTTTAGAGAGCATTTGAACCAAATAAGTTGGTGGATTTTCTTCTCTATGCATATCTTTTTATTACTTTTAAAGTATTTGTGAACAACATTTTCAGGCTGCAGGATGCTGGGAAGAATTTATTAGGCAATCCATGGTAATTTTTGCAGCAGTTTGCTATGTAGAAATTATTGAAGGGGCTTTGATTTCTTCACAGGCTGTAAAGAATTTTGAACATCCTTCACAAGCACCTGCATTCCAAAAATATTTTCTTCTTTACCTTCTCCTTCCTGGGATTATGCTCTTGTTTTCCTTATGGTTCCAGTACAGGGTAGAGATATCTGGAATATATAATTTTTATATAAACGAGCTTCCCGGAGTACCAGGGTCAGTATAAACTGCAGCAGCTCAGAGGCTCCCGTGAATGACTGCAGCCGATTTCCTTGTGTTGTCAGGCTCTGTGGGTGCGGCCGACAATGTCCTTGTTGTGACAACGACACAATTCACCTATTTCACCTCCCTAATTCACCCTCGGGGAGGGAATTAGCCGTGACACAAAGGGTTGAATGAGCCTCCACAGGTCTGTACTTCCCATTGACTTCTGAGCAGCAAAAGAATCCTCCCACCCTGGGCGATTTGGCTTGTGTTCCTTAGCTAATAAATGGTTGTTGCAAATAATCAAGTACTGGTATGATATAAATGTTTAAGGAAAAGGACAAAGCTTAAAATGAACTATACAAGATATGTGGTTTATCTGTCAGCTCCCTCCTGTTGATTATATTCAGGCCGATGACAGACCTGATTCTCCTTTTTACAGCAGAACAAAGCACATCAAAACAGAACACAAATCTCTAGGGCCCATATCCTTCTGCAAACATCTCTAACACTTTCTCTCCTGCGAGATTCCTGCTGGAACGGTATCAGTGCACAGTGTACAGCAGTGGTTGGTTGGGAAGCAGCAATGATGTCTGTGGGTGTTTGAGCAGACACACTGCAGAGCTCATGACTTACAGTGGCACAGTTAATACACATAACAGAAGTAATGAAAGTAATACCAAAGTTGACTGTTGTCATCCTTCTGTGTCCCTGTTCCATTCAAATTATTTCTATTTTGTATCAGAACAACAGCAGAAGCTGACCCAGTATTTCTTGTCCATCTTACAGTTTTGACCTAAGGGCAGAACTTAAAAGATACCGTTTAAAAGCCCTCTAAGCCCTGTGGACAAAATAAATACAGAGTGCAGCTCTGAGGGCAGCAATATATTTGTTGGTTTAAGTATGTACAACTCGATATTGGACAGCATTCCAGCCATTTAAGTCAGAAAACTGTGTCATTGCTATAAGCAAGATCAGTAGTTCACAAAATACACATGGACACACAAAATATATTATTAAATTGTAATATGAAAATACAAAATATTTTATAAATTGCATGTAGTGCATCCTGTACAGTCTCTGAAATTGTTGTAAAGCATTCAACCATCCTGGGCGTGCTCTGAAGAGAGCAAGCTGTAATTCAATATAAGAGGGCAATCATGTGAGGAGAAATCAGCTGGTTTTGGAGACAATATATAATTATGTGTGCTTTGGGACAGCTAGCATGAAACTCAGGCTGCATTATACCTGATAAAGTTTTTAGCCAAGATTCCATCCCCAAATTTTCAACTGGGAATCAAAGGACAGAGCAGAAGCTCCTCCCCCCACACCCCTGCAGTACCCAGGTTTTTGTGATTTCAGTGGTCTCTAGCTGCTGTTGGCTCTGATAAATGGTCTTTGGGAGCAGTGTCTAGAGGCACGAGGCTAATTCAGCTGATCTTGTCTTGGCTGCAGGCTCTGATATTTGTGGTGGTTCTAGGATGGATCTTTGTACCCATCTACATCAAAGCTGGGGTAAGTCAAGCCACTGCATTACCTCTGTCTTTGCTGCTCATGCTTACAGCTCAGAGCTGGAGTATTGCAAACTCATTATGAATGGCACGAGATCCGAGTGTGCCAGAACAGCACTTTGGTATTTCTGTGTACTTGGAAAATGAGGATTCTCTGTTCTAAGACCTGAGCTGAGAAGTACTTGGTGCTCCTTCCTTGTTCTCCTTTGATTCCTGGAGCTGCTCTTCAATGAAACTGCAATTACAGTCTCCTAATTTTGTGCTCCACTCTCACAGTATCTAAGTACCAAAAATCTTCCTCTAATTTGATTTGTACCTGTTCCCCATTATCTAAAACCTCCTCTACCTCCACAGGTGGTGACAATGCCAGAATATCTGAGGAAGCGTTTTGGTGGGAAACGGATCCAGGTCTATCTGTCAGTCCTTTCCTTGATCATATATGTTTTCACAAAGATCTCAGTAAGTAAAACTTCTACAGCAATTTCTTCCATTCTACATAGATCCAAAGAAAAGAAATGTCATTTTACAATATTGCTCTCATAACTGGTCAAGCATTTCAGATTTGGAGCTCTTGGCTGAATTAACAACAGTAAAATTATGATTTTGTGTTTTCTTCATTCTGTCCAGTGAGACTCTGTGCTGCAATCCAAGGTTTTTTCTTCCTGGCAGTTTCTCTTGATGCTTATTGTGCTTTGTCCATTTTTTAAAGTCTTAGGGTTTACTTTTATATTTGGTTTCCTCTAGAAAGCATCAGAGTGGAGGGAAATTTGTAATATATTATGGTCTGTTATCTTAGGGATCTGTGAAACCCAGAGCAGGATTTTTTGTCCCTAGATTTCATATTTATCTGTTTTAGTATCCCCTGGTGAACATGCCATCAGTAATATAGATGAGGAAAAAGAGCAAGGGGACTATGGATAAAAAAAGAATAACAAGAATTAGAAAATGGAAGAGTGGGGAAATGAAAATGAGGCAAATTGTAAAGGCTGATGTGAAAGGAGGGAAGAGGAGAGATTCTTTTAATGGACAAATGATTGGTGTAAACTTTAAGGTACTACAAAGTTAATGTTTATTAAGTAAATGGATGTGTTTCTGTGGAGTAGTAAAAAGAGCTGGTATTTTCCATATGTCTTGAAAGTACCAAGCTTCTAAGGAAGTCCACAGTTCAGGCACACTTCAGTCTGTTGTTTTGCAGAAGTTGTCATGGCAGATTAGTCTTTGCCCTCTGAATGGGAGCTGAGTGATAATAGTGCAATTTAAGCTAAAAGATTGGCCTTTTGCTCTCATTCTCACATTATAACTGATCCTTAGAGAGGTTATAAATTAAACAGGTTAGTAGTGTGTGCTGGCCTCAGAGCTGGACTTCTGTATATTTCAAAAGGATTAGAGAGTTTGCTGTAGCTGTGCTCAACTATCAGAATCAGAACTCCTGGGTATGACACACAGTTCTGGACATTCCAGCAGCAGAGGAGCTCCTCCAGTTAGTGACTCACAGTCCTTTTCAGCAACACATGTTGGTGGTGAGCCTATTAAGGTGCTATGTAGGTTCTGAATTTACTATTCAGCTTTGATTTACAGCCTGTGTTATGCCTGAGGCTCTGATTATGGGATTTTTCACAGTTTCAGTTGGAGTGTCCTGTTTCCAGGGAAAACAGGTTCTGCATATAAGCTTCCAGTGTAGCCATGAGGATCAAACAACCTCTCCATAGGCAAGGGATCCATACAGCAGCACTGTTACAGGTGCAGGTTACCTGGGCCCCACTCTGCCACTGGCCCACCCCAGCTTCCCATCAGCCCCTTTATTCCAGGTGTTTGTGGGGAAGTGCCTTGGAGCTCGGTCTGTGCTGTGCAGGGGTAAAATATGGTGTTCAATTTCTTCTAAGCATTTATTTGGTTGCTCCTAACTGCCCTGAGCAGCTCTGGCAGTGTCTCTGCCTGTACAGTGAGATTCCTGGAGTGTACAGACAGATGTCTGCGTTGCTGCCTCATGTGCTGCATTTGGATGGGCAGGATCTGCCCAGGACTGATTCACTTGCTCTGGCTGGTTCAGATTAGGCAGAGCAGCCAATCCTTGGAGGTGTCAGGTGCTGTCAGAGGATCTCAGAGTAGGTTTTGCTATGCCATGCTGTGCAACACCATGTCCACAGGGTGGCCAGAGCAGGGAGGGAAGGGCTGTTCCCTGCTGGGCTGTAGGGAGCTGTGCTGAGGGGAGAGGCACAAGCACAACCTCCCTCCCCACAGACACGTTGGATATCCAAATACATCCACGTGTTGACAAGCCATTGTATTTTACTTCCTGCAGTGCTGCCTTGGCAAACGCTCCTTTGTGGTTTCTGGGGCTCTTTGAGATTTGATGGAGAAGGATGGGCTGCTGCCCTGCCCTGAATGGGAGGTCACACCCACCAGCAATTCTCATTGCCTCTTATCCTTGCAGAAGAGTGGCATCTCTTGCTTCTGGGGTAGTTATTTCATGTGCTTCTTCGTTGCTGTGTTGAAATATTATGTAGTGTACTTAATAATATAACTATAGCAATGTTTTCTAGGAAGCAGAATCACATATCAGGTCGTGTGACTCCTGCTGTGCTTTCTGGCCCAGTGCCACCACCGTGTGAGGATCTGATTCCCTTTGCACACCTCTCCAGTGTCCTTTCCATTTCTCTTTCCCTCTTTCCATTTCTCTTTCTCTTTTCCTTTTTTCTGTGGGTTTTGTTGATTTCTTACCATGCTTTGGGGCTAATCAGCCACTTGACAGACAAGGACATGCTGCAAGGAGTTCATCCTTGGGATCAGGATACATATGATTTTTGAGCCCAAAGGATTTCTGTCATACAGAAATTTTTGCTCACACGGGGACCTCACCTGTACCTGCTCCCTAAGTGTGCAGCACATTGTGAGCAGTGCCCATAGCAGCTTGCAGAAGCTTTTTAGCCACTGTGTTGATGGTCTTGGTCATTATGCCAAAGGAAATGGTCTGGTAAAAATAAAGTATTGATGGATAGTAATAGGCTAAGTTATGACAAGACAGAATTAAAGTCTGAATGTTTTTGAAGAAATCAGAAATCATAAACTGGAACTTCTGAATCTGTTAGAGCATTTTCTCTCTGTTCATTGTGCATAATTTCAGTAGGAAAACTATGGGCACAGACTTTCCAGGGGAAAGAGGAAGAGAAGAATAACCTTCTCCTAGGAGTGACAGTGCAGCGGTTGAGTAGGTGCTCCTGCTCTGGCACCCACAGGGTACATCCAGCTGGCACTTTCCTGGCCGGGTGTTCCTTTGTGATCCCTGCCTTTGCAGAGGGAGCCTGTAGTGTAAAGGGAAGAGTGACTCTAATAAGAGATTAGCTAAAGATTGTCTATAAAAGACTATGAATGAAACAGGGAAATATTGGAAGGCAATAATCTTACTGGAGAGGAGAAGCAGTGAAACTGGAAGAAACGCAGCAATTTGAAGAAGTTGATACATTTCCCAGAATGCTCAATAATTAACTATACATTTCTTCGTGGGAATCATTTTACGCCCATCAATATTTAATGATAAACTAAAGCCAAGAACAATAAAAGGAAGGTCAGGAACACAGACTGATTAGTGGTGTGAAAAGATAAGAAACAAATTACCATAGAGAGATGTGGGGCAGAGGATGTGGTCTGACAGCCACTGGGGTAAGAGCTAAAGCCCTGGCTCCCAGGGCCAAAGGAAAGCCTCTAAGGAATGTGCTCCAGAGGCAGAGTTTGGGAGTGGGACCCCCGCTGTCACTCGCAGAGCTGTCTGCTGCCATCGGGGCCGCAGAGCTCCGGCCTCTTCCTCGTCCTTCAGCAGGAGCCCGGCAGGTCCTGCCCTGCATCTCGGTTCAGTGTCTCGGGAATGAAGATGGTTTTTCTCTCGGCATCTCCCAGGCTGCAGCCCGCCCCGTGGGGGTGTGTGCCCGGGCTGGGCTGTGATCCCGGCTCTGGCCGGCCCCGGAGCCCCCAGGGCTTGGGCAGAGTTTTGTGTCTTTGCTTCTGCTCGTGAAGCCCACAGGGACCTGCTGGCAGCTGAGGATGGCAGTCCCTGTGCAGAGCCCTCCACGGGCGGTGTGGATGCATGGGGAGGAGGGAGCCCATGAGCTGCATGCTCAGGAGCAGCCTCTAATGAAAGCAAAATTTACAGTAAGGCATCACAAGTGCAGCAGGGCAGGTTGTTCTGATTGCAAACTTGTATAAATAACATTGATGCCAATTATCTCTAAATCAGGAACTGATTTAATGGGATTAACGTCCCAATGTTACTCTGAAACCTGAGCAGTTGCTTCCTTATGCAAGAACTAAAGGTTTCCTCTCTTAGCCAACTGCTGTCAGTTCTTCTGACAGGAACTTTAAAATTCTGTTTGCCTTTAATGCAAATGCAGCATTTGTCCTGAGCCAGCAAGATGAGCTACACCACACGTGAGCAGTAAAGGGAAAGAGATTTGTGGGGTGACACTGAACAAAGAGAATTGTGCCATGTCTTGGAGGTTTCACACAGCCCAGCCCTTCACAAAGCAGCAAACGGAACTCAGTTTTATTTGTTTTGAATCTGTCTCTTAGTGCCTAAGTACTGAACAGTGAGGTAACTGTCTAGAAAAAACAACCCTGTTAAAAAAGGCCTGGAAATTCTCTAAGAAGTGTTACACCTCTGGTACTAAGAACTCCACAGTTCTGAGGGGACACTGGCAGGTGCACAAAAATGGCTTCTATTTTCTTTTTGATTTGTGTGTGCAGTACTACAAGGGGCAGAGTTGTGTATTTCAGTGCCCTCATCATGGAACTATAATATGTCACCATGAACCTAAACATTGCTGAACCTACCATTTTTTCTTTTCTAGGCTGACATCTTCTCTGGAGCTGTATTTATCCAGCTGGCCATAGGGCTGAATCTTTATTTGGCCATAATTATCCTGCTTTCTATTACTGCTCTTTACACCATCACAGGTGAGTTTGCAGAGTAGTCTGATAAATCAGATGTTGAGGGAGCCAGAAGAAAGAGAAGCAGAGAAAAAGGGAGAAAAGAAAACCTGAAAGGGGGGTTATTTATAGTGATCCTTGAAAGACAGAGGTGGTGAGAAAAGGGAAATAAAGAAAAAAGCATTTCCACTGAGACATTTGCCCAGGGCTAACTTATTTGTTCTGACTTCTCTGCCATCAGGTGGCCTTGCAGCTGTGATTTACACAGATACCTTACAAACATTCATCATGGTATTGGGATCCTTTATTCTCATGGGATTTGGTAAGTAAATCAGATGAGTTAAACTGGAATGTTCAGCCACAAATCTTGCAGTGGCTACAGGAATGGATCCTGCAGTGTGAAACTGCTACTTTAACCAGGAGGTTTCAGCTCCTGTATGTATTTATCAGGGAAGAAAACGGGCATGTTGCCAAAAGTCAGGCAGCTTTAGTCACTGAGTCACTCTGTCTCCCGAGCACAAGTGAATGTGTAAGGTAATAAACAGCATCCCATGACAGGATTTTTATGACCACATTAAGGAAGCTTTTCTCCTCACACTCTCAAGCTGTGAGATTTCAGTAATAAATCCTTTATTGCTACTTTTACTTTCTGTGTTGCAGCATTTGCTGAAGTAGGAGGGTATGAGGCTTTCATGCAGAAGTACATGGCAGCGATTCCATCCAACGTCTCCTACGGGGACACGGAGGTGGATCCCGCGTGCTACACTCCTCGCAGGGACGCCTTCCACATCTTCCGAGACGCCAGCAGTGGGGACCTGCCCTGGCCAGGCCTCGTCTTCGGCCTCAGCATCCTTGCCATGTGGTACTGGTGCACAGATCAGGTAATGTGAGAGCCCAGCACCTTGCAAAGGCCAAACACAGAGCTCTGTGCTTCACTCTGATCTTCCCCTCTAATACCAAGCTGGCCCACAGAACTGGCTGTTATTTCAAGACTCGTCAGTGACTTTTCAGTTCCTGGTCTCAAGGCATCTCTCACATGTAAGAAAATGGAATGGGTGTTCTTTCAAATCTTCCTGCACACTTGTGCCCAGCAGATACTGTGTCTGCCTCCTTTCTCATTTTTTATGCGTGACCATGTGTGAAAACAGAGAGGTTGGGCTGTGAACACTTACTTAGGAAGCCATGGAACAAATGACCCTTGTTAGACTGGGTCTAGATACCATTCCCTTTTCAGTAAAACAAGTTTGTTTCCTATATATGCAGCTTTCATCTTTGCTTGTACAGTCCTGGGGGGATTCATTATATGTTTGGTCTTTCATCTTGGAGACTCTTCCCCAGTCATCCTTCCTTCCCTCTAAAACCTACTGTCCGGTTTCCTCAAGAGATCACACTGACATGAGTACAGAAAAATGTGCTCCTGCAACATGTGAATGTGCCTCTAACAAATGATCTCTTTGCATCCTGAATTGTGAGAAAGATCATCATGAATTCTCAACAAATTAACAAAATCCCCAATGTAACTGTATTTACTGCTCAGTTAAACATTCTATTCCTTTTTGGCTTTTTAGTCTATCTGCTTTAAAAACTTCTTGTGAGAGAAGTCTTACCCCTCAAACATGCATTGGATAAGTAATATTTTCCTTTACTTATTTCAAACATATTATTTGATTTTCATGTAGTTTTCATTTTTCCTAGTGGCAGAAATGCTAAATAGGCTCTTGTGCTATCACAGAAGTTAAGAAGCACCTTGTATGTGGAACATGACATGGTGTGATCATGGAAATGTTACAGCTGCCATGTGTCATTGACAGGTTATTGTGCAAAGATGTCTCTCTGGCAAGAACATGTCCCATGTGAAGGCTGGCTGTATCATGTGTGGGTACCTCAAACTCTTGCCCATGTTTATCATAGTGATGCCTGGAATGATCAGCCGGATTTTGTACACAGGTATGATATGGATACGGAAATGCAAAGTTCTTGCTGCCTGCTTTTCATTGCCAATCTCTTTGTTCCTTCCAAAATACCTGTTAGATTGTCATCTTCTCATCCAAATAGTCCAGGGACCTTCAGCTGGCTGCACTGTTAGAAGCCCCAGGCCTTCCTCTTTTTCCTGATCCCAGGTTTCTGCTAATACTATTGCTGTCTGTTTTAGGGGAAAGAAATTCCACGGTGTCCCTCTGTAGCTGTCTATTTGTTACAGCCCCACTCTGACTGAATGAGTGGAAAATGCTGTCCAGAACAGATACCATGCTGGCAATTGGAGGGACAGGGCCATCAGTCACAGACTGCAGGGTTTGGGCCATGGGCAGTCCCAAGGGCAGCATGGGGAAATGCCACTTTCCCATCTCCCTGACCAGCAGAGAGTTTGGCTGTGCTTGGCAGCAGGCAGAGGAGGGAGGTTCAAGCTGCAGGGAGTAGGCTTGTGTTCCTCTCATTGTTTTTCTACTTAGACTCCTTATGTTGTTCAGCCCTGGTCTGACAAATGAGTGTAGATTTTCTTTTGACCTGCAGCACTTGTCAGTATTCTTTTAGAGAGGAAGAGAAGGGAAGAGGCTTAGAATCACCTTCCTCCCTGCCAGCAAACCAAGGATGAAGTCAAACGTGTCAATCTGGTGGCTCAACACAGAGATCCATTCTAGAAACTCTGTTAATTTGGGAGCAATCTGTTTTTTACATGACCTTGTCTCAGTGTCTCATTATCCTCTCCTCAGATGTGGTGGCTTGTGTTGTGCCTGAAGTCTGTCAGCGCTACTGTGGCACCGCAGTGGGCTGTACAAACATTGCTTATCCAAAAATGGTAGTGGAGCTTATGCCAAATGGTAAGACACTGTTGTATTTGTTGTTTCTTTGTTTTAGGAAAGCCAGACTGCAAAAACAAGTGATAGAGGGAGTCCAAGATCCATATTTAGTTCCAAAATTCTTGCTAGAATTATGTACTATTAACCAAAGGGGCTGTAGGTGCAGAATAACTCCACACTGACAGTGTCAGCTCTCAGCTGGCACATACTGCCTGCTGAAATGGTAAATGAGCTCCCTTTTTGTGAAGGTAAAATATAACCTGCTTGGCCAATGATTTATAAAAGACTCTCTGCCAGGATCTCTGATCTGGAGGCCTATTCCTGTGGTCCTCCTGCCAACCCCAAAGAGATAGGTGCTGGCTCATAAGGCAAAAAAGCCAGGTTTTTATTACAGAGACCATGGAACTTCCCTGATAGCCTTGGTACTTTCCCATCCTTTGATAACGGCTGTTAAAATCCTGCAGTACTTCCTCATGCTCTGTGACCAGACCAAGCCACCTGGAAAAGTGTCTTACTCTGGTTGCCAGACAGTAAAAGAAAGTAGGCGTTTTTTAGCAAATACCTGGTTCACAAATATAGAACAAGCAAGTGAGCACTCTCCTGCAAACAAAAGGAATTATTTTTATAACTGTTGGGAAAAGTGTACTTAATATAGTTTTCTTTTTATTCCAGCATTTAATCAGGCAGAATTCACTAAAGAAGTACCTACCTGCTAAAAGCTCAAGGTTTCCCTGGCACTGCTGTAGCTTTTTGCAAGCTCTGCTTGCCCAGCAAGGGAATGTCAGGCACATAAATGTGCCAGACATGCTCAGAGCTGGCCGATGGAAAGGGTCAGACCAACAGCTGGTGCCAGGTGCTGAGGCTGTACACAGAATGCTCAACCCCGTTCCCACCTTTGTGTTCCAGGTCTGCGGGGTCTGATGCTGTCAGTCATGCTGGCCTCCCTTATGAGCTCCCTGACATCCATTTTTAACAGTGCCAGTACTTTGTTCACGATGGACATTTACACCAAAATTCGGAAGCGGCCGTCTGAGAAGGAGCTGATGCTGGCTGGCAGGTGAGCGCGGCCGAGCCTCCCCTGCCCAGGGCTGCGCTCGGTGGCTGCGGCCGCTCCCGGCAGAGCTGCCCCGGCTCTGCCCAGTCCCGCCCCGCGCTCCTTTGGAGCACACCCGCTCCGCAAGGAGCACACGGGGTGCGTGGAGCAGCCCAGCTAATTGTCGCTGCTTCCCGCTGCTGTTCGAAGGAAAATCTTTTAAATCACCTTCCTGGGCTCCGCGCTGCACCAGGCTGCAGTGTCAATGAGCTGGTTCTAGTTCGTCTGCTATTGGTTTGTCTCTAGACATAAAAATCACAGGGGAAAAGTGATTTTGTATGTTTTGATTGCATATTTAACCATGTGCTGATGGGTATTTGACATACACAATGCCCAATTTGGATTTCTTTTGTTTGTTCAGTGCTAATTTGCCATTATAATTGATTTCACTAGTTGAAATACAAAATGAACATGTAAATTATTGATTAATTGATGTTCTTTTTTTCTTTCTGATAGATCATAGATACTTCTAAGCAGATGGCTAATTGAATATCTGGCTATGTTTACAGGGCATTTATGTTACTCTTAATTGGCATCAGCATTGCCTGGGTTCCCGTGGTGCAGTCAGCTCAGAGTGGGCAGCTCTTTGATTATATTCAGTCTGTTACCAGCTACCTGGGACCTCCCATTGCTGCTGTTTTCCTGCTTGGTATCTTCTGCAAGCGTGTCAATGAGCAGGTAAATGCAAATTAGGGAACAGGTATGCCATGTGTTCCTTTAGGAACTGAGAGAGCTGGGTTTTTTTTTTTTGTTATGAGCAACTTCTTCCTGTTTTTTTTAATCCCAGTATAGCCCAGGGATTTTGTGTCTCCATACCCCAAAGCCTGAGGTTTCAGAGATGAGTTGGATAAAGTTCTTTTATAGTCTGATAGTCGCCTAGGAATTCACAGATAGCTCTGAAGCTTAGGTTACCTATCACTTTGCCAAGAAGTTTGCTAAAAGGATTATCTATAGACACCTATTTGAAAGTTTTCATTTAGGATATTGGTCACCAAGCTGCTTTACCAAACAAACCACCTCTTACTCTTAAACTACCTATCCTGTCCAGTTGGGTTTTGAATATGCCCAAGACTGGGAACTCCACAGTGTCTCTAGGCAACCTGTTCCAATCATCAAGCACCTTTACAATAAAAAAACAACAAAAAAATTATTTTTAAACAGAATTTCCCATATTTCAGTTTGTGCCCACACATACCTGTGTGTCTGTTATACTTTGGGCTGTGTTACTGTACACCAGGCACCCACCAAGGCTGCTGAGAATGAAGTAATTACTCAGGGCCATTAGCAGGTAAGCCAGAAACACATTTCAGGAAAGATGACACAACATTCTAGCTGGTTCCATCATGCCAGAGTGTCAGGGATTAAGACCTCAAAGGTAAAAAGGTATGAGAACAGCCCCTGGGGTGTGCAATCCATGGCTGAAACCTGTCTTGTAGAAGGGGACAGTTGTGTGGAGCCAGATGGACTGTGAGAAATGGTCTGGACGGGGTGTCCTGGAGTGTGCCTGACATCTCAGAGCTGTTCATTGCCCCTTTCAGTTGTACTCATACACTGAGCTGTGAATAAGGTCACTGAAAGCATCTGAGTTAAAACCCACACACCAAAGCCATTGTAACACATCCATGTTACTACATCCATGTTTCCTCCATCAACTGTTTGAGACCTTAGAGTTTATTTCCATGCTTGAAATTACTAATTTTGATCCCTTCTTGTCACACCCTTGTCTGCAGGGTGCCTTCTGGGGCCTGATCATTGGGCTGCTGGCTGGACTCAGCAGGATGATTGCAGAGTTTGCCTATGGAACTGGCAGCTGTGTGGCCCCTTCCAACTGCCCCTTCATCATCTGTGGCATTCACTACCTTTACTTTGCACTGATCCTCTTTGGGGTTTCTGCCATCATCATCCTGGCAGTCTCCTTCATGACCAAGCCCATTCCTGATGTACATGTGAGTATTACTGCACTCCTGCTCCTCAAGAAATGGAACACAATGAAACCACCAGATCGTACTTGGTGTGTAACCTCCAACACTTCAGCCACCCCAGCATACAGCTCTTGTAAGAAAGCAAAGGAAATAGTCTTCAATTACCTGTCACAGATCTTCAGTGACTCCTAACAGCCTGGGACATCCCAGACATTTGGGATGCTGTGGTCTTAGAGCCAGCTCAGGTGCTGGCCAGGCTGGTTGGTCTCTGTGTAGTCAGCCCTTGATCAATTCAAGTCCTTTTGTTCCGTGGCAGCTTTACCGCTTGTGCTGGTCCTTGCGGCACAGCAAAGAAGAACGGATTGATCTTGATGCAGATGAGGAGCAGGACAGAGCTGATGAAAAAGATAATGAATCAGGTAACTGTTGAATACCTAGAGATTCTGTCATATATTTGAGTATCCCTGTTTCATTCCTGAAGAAACATGAACTTGCTTGATAGTTGAAGAGATCCTCCCTCTCCCCAGCAACAAATCTTCAGCCCCCACAGATTTAAATGGCTCATGAGCTGCCTTTTCCAGTCTCTCAAGCTCAGTGTAAATCAGAAGTGAAGTGGATTTGAAGGGACAAAATCTTATGCTCTTGGTATCTTGGTGGCAGCTCTAGGAGTAAACCAATGGCAGTGCTCTGGGTCAGAGGCACTGTGCATTGGCAGAACTGTGACTCCAGCACTGGGAGGGAATTCACCTGCAAATAGTGGATTGTAGCCAGGATTGAAGGAACCATGAAAGCAAATTGCAAACCCACCTGCTCTCTTTACTGGGTTTCTGGTTCCGCTCTCAAGCTCCTTTTCATCAGTATTTTCAAATTAATTTGTTTGTCTTTGATCAGGGTATAGAAAATATTGAAAAAATGGAGTTTAAGCTTTGAAGCACTTTGCTTCCCCAATACCTGGCCAAGTCTCTGGGCTGCAAAAGGCCCAAGTGCTTTCTGCAGAAGGCTCTCTTGGAACAGGTAGAAAATCCCTCTTTTCCCAGATGAGCTGTGAAAACGCAATATTAACCTAATTCTTGTGCTGTTTTGTACTAAAATGCCTCCAACTGAATTATGACCATAAATCAGAACAGGAATGTTCCCAGTCCCAGAAGTCAAGTGTATGCCATGATCTGTACTCACCTTTCCTGACCAGATTGTTATTCCTTCCAGTTAATGAAGAAAACCAGGAGGACCCAGGATGCTGTAGGAAAGCTTACAACTGGTTCTGTGGCTTGGACCAACAGAAGGGCCCCAAACTGAGCAAGGAGGAAGAAGAAGCACTGAAGAAGAAACTGACAGACACCAGTGAAGTGCCACTGTGGAGAAACGTTGTGAATATCAATGGCATCATCCTCTTGACTGTGGCTGTGTTTTGCCATGCCTACTTTGCATAACCCCCTGATCACAGTCCTGGAATTGTACTGCATTGTTCAAGCAAAAATGATGGTTTGTAGATTTACACAATTAGATACACATTGTATTTTCATCATCCACATTTGTAAAACGTCAGAGTGATTTACTCACTGATTTTGTGATCATAATTTCAACAATTTAAAGATGAAGGCCACTGGGATTTCAAGAGAATTTCTCTTTAGACATTGAACCAATCTGGGGCTAACTGAGGTTCAGAATTTCCATCCAATAGTCTCTCTGCTCATAATACATTTCATATTTTAGGTTCAGAACAAGGCTGCATGAGCCATATTTCGTATCAGGTTTTGTGAACTATCTTTTAGGGTTCACGATACTATTTTGATTTTCACCCCTTCCTCTGATATTCAATTTTCCTTTTCCTTTGGCTATGATAACAGGATTGCAAAAAACTCACAACCACTGAGGGACTGTGTTACAAACTCAAATTAAAACATTGCTATTGTCCCTCCAAACATGGGATATCTTAAGTAAAGGATTTATTCATAAATCAATGTATTTGATACTACATATAACTTTCCATTATCAGTTTTCCCCCCTTTTTCTCACTTTCCACTGGGTTGTGTTTCTCAGTTTTCAGTGGAACACTAACCTCTGAATTGATCACATTTTGAAACTGAGAAACACCCATCTTGATCCTAAGAAGAATTTTGCTTACAGCAGATTATCTGTTTAAGGTTAACTTCCAAAGGTCCTCCTCTCTTGATATTTTAATATATCCCCTTACTTGAATGTGAATCTTTTTATACAAAACACATGTATTATATATACACAAGCAATACATTATGTATATGCACTATGTATATTATATATATTTAAAATATGTATTTATGTGTGTGTATATATATTTATTTCTTACTGATCAATTCCCACCCTGGTGTGTCAAAGACCTCTTTACTGTGGGCTTGGAGTCAATGCACTGCCTCTGTCTCTGGACTGTGCTGCAAACCAGCCCATGGTGAAACATCCACAGTACTGGAATGCTGGGCTGCATTTTGCAGATACTCTGTACTGCTTTTCTGCAAAGCTATAAATCTTTCCTCTGAAGATTTCATTGAGAAATAGGATTCCTGCTGCATGGCAGCATGAGTTAGCAGTTCAGGAAGGAGAATAGTCACAGCTGTGGGATATCAGCTAAACCAGGCTCATTGTCTCCACTTGATAAGTTTGGTACCAGCTGGGGACACAGGAAAAGACAGATTTAACACTTCAAAGCAAAAAAGCAAAAAGCAATAGATCTTCTTTTCATCTCATTCAGCTTCCTGGGGAATCAAGTGTAGAAAGAAGATGCTGGTTGCTCAGTCAGGCAGTGCCACAATTCCCTGTTCCTTTTTGCACACGTTGGTGGGACTGCACTGTCCCTGAGCATTCCCGAGGCTCTGCCACAGGATGCTCCGGGCTGGCAGCAAGTGCAGCTGAAGGGGGAGGCAGAGCAACCCCTGCCCGTGCCACAGCACCCTGCTCTGCCTCCTGGGCTTCCAGCACTCCCACTTCTTACTCTCCTGGCAGGATCTTTGCTTCATTTAGCTCTAACCCCAAATGCTCTGGATTCCAGCAGTTGCTGCTCTTCAGTAGAATTGATGTTCTTCAGCACAATCCCTGTAGGGTCCTTTGCACAGGCCAGATTAAATCAATATTTCAGAAATACCAGTGCAAACCTTAACACAGTGATAGAGTATTTTAAAGACCTTGGAATTAATTGTATTTTATGAACAATGAAGACTTGTATGTATTAAAGAAATTGTATGTTTTGAAGTATTTGGTGTACACAAAGTGATGGGATTTTTATATAATATGATGGAAGACAGAGAAACTTCATTTGGTGTCTAGGTTTTGGCTCTGGGTAATAGTAGTGAATGAAAAACAAACAAGTAAGATGTCACTGAGGATTGCTCAGATCCCTCTTTGTCATTCTTTGCTACAAAAATATGGTGAAACTATAAAGCTATTTGGATAAAGGCAAATAACACAAGTGATTTCCTGGCAGTCTGAGCAGCCTTTGGATGACCTCCTGGTTAATCAGGCATCATTGCATGATTTTGGTCCTCAGCAATCTTAATTCATTCTGGTCTGGAGGTGGATGTTGTGGAGGGAGGGGCTCAAATGTTTATATAAAGTTTGACAGCTACCGTTGACTCCTGTAATTTTGTAGATTTTTAAAGAAAAACTGCCTTATATTGTGAACAGTTGATAAAATTGTAATGTTTAGCTAACATTAAATGCCAACTCAGGTTGGTAGCTATTACATTCATGATTTTAAGGAAGAAAATGACTTTCCTTCAGTTTTCAGGGGAGCTCTGTACATGAGCTGTTGTTGGGAACACTCAGCTAAAAGCAGAACCTTACGCTGATCTGGGCATTGTCATGCTTTAGAAGTGGGAACTGTGAGCACTCCCTTTTCCCCAGTGTTTGACTATACATTTGAAATACTTCTGGTTAGTGATGAGACTCCAAATAAATCTCTGGCTCACAGCACAAAGTACCTGCATGGCATGTGCAGCTGTTTCAGGGGATCTTGAGACATCCCAGCTTACCCTGTCAGGTAAGATACATGGTTAAAGCTTATTTTAGTGGAATTTAGTTATATATACAGAATTATTTCAATAAAATATAATATGCACTTAGTAGCACTGTCAGCAAATTGTGACACTGCTCAGTAAAGAACACACACTAAACAAAATTTTCCATTTAAGAAATACTACATAGTTCTTAAGAAAAATCCTGAAAAAGGGTAATCACTGTTCAATTGGTCTGTATCACCCACAAAAATGTATCCAACTATCTCACAAATGTATTGATGATGATGAGAACACCCTATTCTTAGCAATCAGGATTTGGGTTTATTCATATTCCATTACTGAAAAACCTCATGCACTGAAACTCGAGGGGAGGGAAGGTCTGGGGCTTTGTTTGGAATTAATCTGCAGTACCCATGGGTTGGTTTCAAGCAGACTGTCTGGCCATGGTGAGTTAGGCCATGGCACAAGGCTGAGCTCCTCAGGTGCAGGTGATTGTGGTGATTGTGGTGATTGTGCAGATTGTGCAGCCCAGCAGCCGCTGGGATTGCCAGGGAGCTCAGCTCTCTGACCTTCCTTAATCGGCAAAACCAGGAGGGCTCCTATAAAGTAAAAGCCAACACAAAAACGAGGAGCCAAGCGAAACAATAAATCCATGTATTGCCAGTCACTGTATTTGAAGGGCACTTGAAATCATTGGATTGAAGTGTGGAGCCAGAGGACTTTAGAGCTGACATTTCTGGGGACAGCCAACACAGAAAAGGGTTGGGCACAGGCTGTGGGGTGACAGCAAAGCTGCTCTTAGGAAAGCTGCTGGGTGCTTTAATTTGCTTAGTGGGCTCATGTGCCAGCTGCAGGTGTCTGTGCCCTGCAATGTTCTCTGGGGAGCAGAGAACCCCCAGAGAGGGAAGGGAGCAGCAATCAGAGACCTTCCCTTGTGCTGAGCTGAAAACCTGTAGTCCCAGATTTAATAACAGCAGGCAATACACTGCTGAAAGAGATGGGAAATGCAAAAACACCTGGCTTTATTTGGTGATTCCTGGCATTTTCGTATGGAGTGTGTATTGTAGGCCTGTGCTAGAGACCTAAAGAACAGACAAAACTTCACTCACTCCAGTTTCTACTGGTTGTTCTAATGCAAGACAGCATAAGCAGTGCCTGTAGTTATCATCCTTATTACTAATAAAAGAGTTTACCTTTTTTGTGCCTCCTGAAGAACATTTCTTCTTGCCCTCTACCATGGGCAGCTGTGAGAAAGAATAATTCCCCTGGAGCTCCTGAGCACACCCTCCCCTCACCTGGCACAGCTGAGGCCAGAGCAGCTGTGCCTGCCTGGGTCAGCACCTCCCCTCCTTTTCTGAAGGTACCTGGAAGAGCTTCAAGCTGAGGAGTAAGTTTCTTGTCACTCTGTGCAGCATTTTTGTCTACAGTATTGGAGCCTATAACTTTAAAAATGTAGCTTATATGCAAGGTATGCTAAAACAAATTATTAAAATGAGTTTTATTCATTCAAATTGCAAACTGTGTCATGCTAAAAATAAGTCCTGTGCTTTGACCATATTAGCTTCATTTGTACCTGTCTCTGCCATTCTGGTTTAATGTCATTAGCCAAATCTGATTTTCCTAGACTATTTTGTCCTTAGACAAATCTCTCACTATATGATTTTTATTTTTTTAAATAGAAAAAGGTAGTGGTGGGAAACAAATATACTCCCTGCTCTGAAACATGAAGAGATGGAATTAAAAGCTGCCATTTTCCAGAGCAGAACAGAATGATTTCCACCCCTTAGCCTCCTGAAAGCATATAGGGACAGTGGAAATGAGTGTGTATTTGCAAGAACAAAGAGCCATAACATTCATAACCTTCTGGAAACTGTTAGAAAAAATTCACTGTGAGCTCTGCCTGGGTGGGATACCAGACTCTACAGGGAATCTTGTTTTCCATGGATGCAGCTGTCTTGTCTTCTGGTGCTGCTGAGAACTGCTGGGCAACTGGTTTCAAAACTCAGTCTGTGTAGAGTGTAACTGCATTAATTCCAGTATTGACCTGGGTCCATATTAATTATATCTGGGCCTTAATATTTGTTGGCTTCAAGCTAAAAAGGCAAATTGATTTCATGATGTTAAAAATCTGCCTTGGTGCTAAAAGCCATCGGAGCATAGAGCACTGGGGAGGGCAAGTGCTAAAACCAGAGACTTGCTGTACACACAGCATTTCCTTTGAAAGAGTGAGTTTAATTGGTGTGTGGGGTGCCAGATCCCGAGATGTTAATTTAAGTATTTGTCATGTGTTTGAAGCAATTCAAAAAGATCTTCAGTATTTTTGTGACCAAGTCCACGGTAGTTTTATTATGGAGTCCAGGGAAAGTGTTCATCAGCTGTTCTTTGATCCAGCCAATTGTTTTACTGACACCTACAGTGCTAATTAATTCCCAGCCTCATGAAATGGGGACTCTTGTCTCTCATCCCAAAGCAGGGAATTAGCCCTCAGCACACCGCCTGTGACTTTTGATTATTATATCTGGAACCATCTTTTTGTCAGTAATGCAGCTTTGTAAATAGAAAACCCCAACTAACAGTGGTTAACAGTGGCTGTTCCATACACAGACTTTAAATTCTGGCATTTGCAGAGGCAGCACGTGGTCAGTACAGCCCAGGGGAATTCCTGTCTGTGTTTGGAGTGTGATGGTTTCATGTTGTCAGGTGTTAACAGTGCCAAAGAATTGCTGAGACAAAAGCTGACATGTGGGAGGGCCCCAGCAGTGTCCATATCTCAGAGTTCACCTGAGGCTTTGTTCCATTTCTGTACTGTGTGTGTAAGATGAGAACACTGATCCATGTAGAGGCTTTTTTGGGAACAGTTTATATTGTCTTTAAAGCATTGATCAGGCAGATACTTGGAATACACTACTTAACGTCCAAATCAATTTATTCTAGTCAGAGCAGTTCAGTGAAGATGGTCTTATTCCTGCATCTGAACAAGCGAATTATTTTGGGAACTCACTGAAGGGTGAAACCTTAATTATCAGGGAAGGCTGTGACAAGGTTGGACCTGGGTTAAAATGATGATTGTTACCAGATTTTCCTGCAATTCTCTAAGAACAGCTGGGCCTACACTGTGCTGCTCTAGTCCTTTAGTATGTTATTAAAGCTTCCTGGCTTCTCTTATTGAGTTAGATGCACTTTGGCACCAATATGTATTTCGTATGAGTGCCTTATGTGTTTAAAAGGCAGAGTTTTTCCAAGATCCTGCCTGGAGGGAATGAATCCAACTGACTCAATGCTTTTAAATCACATCCTTATAGGAGAGGAAATTCACCCTTTGGTTACATTATGGAAGAGAAACATTTTAACTGTAATCACTCCTACAGGAAGAGTTTAAGGGTAATGCAGTTTGCAGTGTGACCCTGGGTTTGGATGGAAAAGCAGCCCTGACAAATAACCCCTTTTATACACCTGATGCAGCTTCTTTGTAGCTACAATTCTGGATATAAAGCTCCCATGTGAGAACAAAACCCAAGTGAAAACAAATGGGGCTTGCTGTGAAGCTGTGCCAGCCACCGTGTCGCATCTTCCTTGGTGGCTGAGAATGGCCAGGGCTGTTCTGCTCTCCTGTTGGAGAGGCTCCAACTCAGCTTTACCAAGTGATACTCTTGTAAAGGCTTTCTGACTTTGGTCTTAATCCCATGTTCAACAAACGTTTGCAGCAAAGTTCACGTGAATTCCTGTTAGATCAATTTGTCAGTACACACAACACTGATGGAGGGGTTAATTGTGAGCCTTTCTAATACAATTAATTATTGATAAGTGTTTGATAGGCTGAGGTTTTTAAAAAAAGACAGAACATTATGAATAAAACAAAAAGGGTTCATGTCTTTTATCATAGGAATATCTTGGTAATTTGGGCAATAACTCCTAGTGGAGAATTCCACACTTCCTAACTTTTCTCCACTTTTCTGCTTGTGACCTGCAATATGGATGTGAAACTGTTGCCAAATAACTTTTCAGGAGAAATTGATCCAGAGTAAGTGAGGAAGGGAGGTCTGGTGTTGAAGGTCTCATGTAATCATGTACCTTTTACAGCCAGACAACAACAGAGGGCAATAGATCTCTAGAAAAGATCGCGGCTGCAGGAGGGTTTCCAGTCGATCACGGTGATGGCGATTTCGGCAGCTCTTTGCACGGCCTCACTGGGATCATCCAGACACCTCTGAAATGTGTCCCTGTGATCCAGCAGTGTCTGGCGGCCCTCTGGCAGCTCAGCCAGCAGGGTGAGGGTTTTGATTGCATTCAAACGCGCTTTGCTGGTTTCCTCAGCAACCAGCGTCAGTAAAGGTGGAATGGCTTCAGCACCCATGGCTGAGGATCTCCCTGTAGGGAAACAAACTGGCTTTGAAATGTGGAATGACATCTAATCATCATCCTTTTGGACTGACACGTTCCATTCCCTGCCTGGCTATGGCTCAGAACAGCCCTGGAGATGCAGTGCACAGAGGTAGAACATGCTCTTTTTTCAGAGACTAAGGTTGGCTCCCAGCTGTTTATTTTTAAGGAAAAAGATTTTTCATGGTTAACTTTATCTGCCTTGCACATTAGTATTTAATTTGCAACAAATTATCCAAAATTACATGAGGCATTAAATGATAGAATAAACTGTTTTGGAGGGGGGTGAGGAGTGGAGTTTGCTAGATGCCCTTAAGAGCATCCTCCAGTCTTTTATTTTTAAAAACACTTCAAAGACCGAGATTCACTTCTGAGTTGTCTTTGGAAGCCCGAGGAAGGCTTGCAGAGGAGGACTGTAACACAACTGCTGTTATTGAGTCTTTTATGTCTAATTACTCATTCATCACACTGGAAATTTAGCAGTTAGTATTTACTGTGTCATGTAAGTTACTTGGGAGAGCTACAGACCTTATTAATATTCATTGCTCTCCCAGCTGTGAGAGAGGAGTTGCCTCTAATCCCAGAATGTTTCCAGAGAGCAGCGTTCCTCTACTGAGCACTGTGCAGCTCCAGCTTTCTGGATCTCTGTGTGGTCTGGACTTGAGTAGAAAATGTTCCCCCTCTGCAGGGAAATTATGCAGGTGAGGTAGATAAATAACTTCTTGACCTACTTAGGGGAATGAAATGTGAAATATCCTGTCCCCCCTAGGCACTGTGACGAAGCAACAATAGTTGTTAAAGACAGTTATAAAGAAATGACGCACTCTTAGTTTCTAGACATGCATTAACACTGTCAGAAACTGAGGACTTGGGGAGTAGGGAGGGCAAATGTTTTGTTACTTAGTTGCCCTAGAATTGGATTTCCAGGAGGTACCCCAACAGAATTGCCTCTGTTTCTCACCCTGAGGTGTAACAAGAGCAAACATCAGCGCTCCCGTTGAACTAACTTGAACTTCGGGCTGTGTGTCTTCCAGCAGGCTCACCAGCACAGGAATCACCTCTTCTTTGCACACCTCGATTTTCCCCTCGGCATGAGAACTGTGGAGAGAAGATGGCTGAGTCCTTGAAGTGAGCCTGCTGCCCGTGCAGCCCCCTTGGCCACCATCCCGGTTCCACCAGCACTGTCACACGCTGCTGTGCCCCGTCCCGGTGCCACCAGCACTGTCACACGCTGCTGTGCCCTGTCCCGGTGCCACCAGCACTGTCACACACTGCTGTGCCCTGTCCCAGTGCCACCAGCACTGTCACACGCTGCTGTGCCCTGTCCCGGTGCCACCAGCACTGTCACACGCTGCTGTGCCCTGTCCCAGTGCCACCAGCACTGTCACACGCTGCTGTTGCTGGTCCTAATTGCAACGGAGCTACAAACCTGGCTGGTGAAGCTTCTAGACATGTAAAAACCTGCTAAACCAGAGGACTAAAATGAATTCTTCTCCCAGTTCACTTTTCTCTCTTTCCAGCCTCTCTAATGAGGAGAATATTTAATGTGGCTCAGCCATTGCAGGGACCTAGAACATAGCTCATATCCATATTTCAGTTGCATTTTGCTTTCTTTCCATGACTCATGTTAATGATACTCTTTTCCTCTAATACCTCTCTTTATTATAGGGCATGAGGAAATGTGTAGTGCCAGTGATACATAAACTACATCAACTGCAGACTCTAAATTAGACATTTGTTGAAAACTTATTATATTTTCTGATTGCAGTACAGTGGACTTAAGTTATTCCTTTCATCCATTCTCTGATACACAAATTTAATATCAAGATTGCTTTTTCTGATCCATCACTAATGTATGTGGCAGCCTGTGGCAGAAAACTATTTCTGTTTTCAATCACAGTGAAAGTTTCCAGGGATCTCTAATTTTCTGAGAGAGAGCACTTTTCCAAAAACATAAGGGAGATTCTCCCTACCTCCATAGTGGTCAGAATCCTGTTTCTACAAGATTTTTCATGTAAGAATTTTTTCCTAGCAGTCCTGTACCAGGAAAAAAATCCTGATTCCATTGCCAATACTGAAAACAAACAGAAGGAGAAGGAATGACTGATCAGCATCTGCTTTCTTCAGTGATTTATAGCAGTTAAGAATTTTTAAAGCTCCATGTGTCCCATTTTGTTTTACCCATGTGTGCATTCAGGCTGAGAGTGCTTTACATATGAAATGTGGCAGCTTCAGTGTGTAATGGAACACAGTTGTAAATGAATGGCATTTATTTACTCCTGAATTAGTTCTGAATTTACTCCTGAATTTACTCATGAAAGAATTAGTTCTTTCTTAGACTAAAGCATTAGAGAGGTTTCTTTACCTGATTTCTAAGAGGACCCAGGCTGCTTTGCTCCTGATGGCTGTGGAGGGGTGTGAGAGCTTTTCCTTCAGCACAGGAACAGCACCAGCCGCCAGGGCTTCAGAAACCTCCACGCGGAGACAGTTGGAGAGGGTACCAAGGATGAGCTCTTGGATCTCATCCAACTCTGTCTGCATCTTCAGGACCAGTGGGGGAATCAAACCAGCCTGCAGGACACCACCAGCCCCTGCAGAGGGTACAGGAAGGAATGTGGGTGAGAGTTGAGTGCTGTTACTATTGCTACCTGCACCTGGAATTTCTTCAAAGGATCAAAATACATGTGGGAACTCATTTCCTTACACAGAAGTGGGACTGAGAGATGGAAACTACTCCAACACTCCCCTGTTATAAATGTCATCTCAGCATTGCTTCTTTGGGAAGCTTCCCCAAAACTCCTCTAAAGAAATCAATACCAGGTAATAACCAACATGAAAATTGCTTTGATGTTCCCAGTTTCTCTGTAATATTTCTCCCAAAATTATCCCTGAAAGGAAAATACAGGAATTATATATACATTACAAAGTCACTTCTATGCAGCCTTTCTAGCTGTTCTCAACATGAACAGATACTAAGAGAGGCAGAGATGTTGGCCTTTAGAGCTTGTTCTTTTATTCTCCATGGTGGTTTCTGATGGGGGGAAGTCAAGATTTTGGGAACTGTCAACTTCCTCACACATTTCTTTGTAGTAGTTCTGTCAAAGCAAAAATATAAATTCTGAACTTTCCAGCAGTCAGTACTCTTGCACTGGCTCCTAAAATATAACATCAAAGGCAGAGGATCATAAATTGCCCTGCAAGTGATGTCTTTGCTATGAGCAAGAGTCTGATTTGTACCATTTCTCACCCTTTACTAAGTCAACACTGCAACAGCAATGCCAGGGGAAAGCAGAATGTACTGTCCACGAGTAACTATGTGAAAACAAAATTCTCCAGCTTGTCTTGTTGCTAAGACTGATTCTTTAGTTGCTATGAGAAATGTGGCTCCTTTCAAAGTGATTCATATATGGTTAGATAAGGAAGCTTTGTGGATAAGAGTCATCAAGGTATTTTCAAATGAATCTCTACAGCAGAGACAAGAGGGAAAGACATTTTAATGACCCTTGGTAGTGCATAAGAGAAATCCCTCACCTTGATAATTGGGTGAAAACCAGGATTCTAATCTAGAGGTTATTCTGTTGTACATATTTCTGAGGCTTTGCTAATACTGAATAACTTCTTATGGTACTGACTTATTAGGATCCGCGTTACAATACCAAAGCAAAGAAATGCCTTGGGGTGATATTACAGCTCTACTACCTGTGCTAAATTTGGAGGTCAGTTTCTGTGAGAATTCAAATAAATAAGGAAAATCAGTTTCCAAGATAATTTATGTTGAAGGCTAAGAGCATTTTACAAACAAGGATTTCTCCTTGTGCCAGAAAGGCAAAGCAGGAAAGGAAAGTGAAACAATGTTCTTTGAAGCTGTGGCTCTGTGTGTCACTACACAGGGGAGTTGGTGCTTTCACTGTGAAAAAAGCCCAACCAACCCTATATTGTTCCCTGGAAGAACAAAAGAAATTTGTCAAAGAGTAACTCCATCCCATTTACACTGTCCCTGCAGAAGGATGTGATGAAGGACACCTGCACTATTGCTCTGCAAAGGACTCTGTTGGAGGGTCCCTGGGAGGGAGGCCCAGCTCGTCCATGACCAGCATCAACCCTCTTGACAAGGATTCCTGGGGTTTGGATTATACATTAGAGGTATAGAAAGGTTTTGGCAGGTTAGACAACAGCAGGAATATATCTGGGAATTCCCCATGCCTTATGGAATGCCAGGCAGTAGGGAACCCACTAGTGAACTGCTCCCAAGGAAGCAGACTAAAGCAGTTAAACCATATTCAGAATTCCTTTAGCCACACTTCCCATCAGTCTTTTGAAATGTCCTGTGAAATACAAGATTTTTCAAATGCAACTTTTAAAACTCCTCCCAAAATTTTTAATGAAAAGAAACTGTATGGCCTGAGTGCATGAAACTGGGATCCCCAGACTGCTCCCAGTCACCATATGCACTTCTAAGTTCTGGGTGGAAATCAGTACAGAATCTCAGTTTGGAAGGTACAGTTTCAGAGGAAGAGCAATAAATCAGATGTGACAGACTTAGGCTCACACTGCCTGTTGCAAACCCCTGTGTGTAGCCTTAACTCACGTGGATCCCAGTGTGCCTTGCACAGTCCATAAGCAAACCCTTTTTGCACAGACACACTCGAACACTCTGGTTTGAGCCCAGAGAAACCACTGCTTGATTTAACTTAACCTTCCTTCTGTCTGCAACAACTGCTGCTGTAGCATTCCCTCTACCTCCCTCGTGCTGGGAGATGTACTCAGCTCTTTCCTGTTTTTTGTACTTGCTTTCAAATACTTACTAGCCATGCTTTAACCCATCATGTTAAGTTACATTTTCACTTTGCTGCAATTCCCTCTTTTTCAGGACTTCCTTCCTAAGTTCTCTCAATTCTCTTGATCACTTCATCATCATACAGCCAGGAAGTATAACCAGCATTCAGGTTTCACTTCTTTCTGACTGTGTGTTTCAATTATCCTTAATGTATTCCACCAATACATTCATCCAGCCAGGGCTGCTTTCACTGGCCCTTGGCTTTATTCCTTCCAGTTAATGTTTATTGACTTTCTTTGCCTCAGTCATCCCTCATTCATTGCACTTCATGTCTTCTTTTGGTGCTGGCCTTTCCTGTGGCGCTGCAGTCCTGGGTGTGAAACCCAACAAAGCCACTCTGTGTCTGTGCCCATAAGCTGCTGAGATAATGTACCATGTTGTCTAGAGCAGCTTTGATTTTGTGCAGTCATTAAGCAGGATTTATTCTGGGGCTACTGGTAGTCATTTTGTCTGAACACTTGGGATGTTCTAATGTTTTTTTAAAATTGATTTTGTTTTATCAGGCTGGGTCTCTGTAGCAGGAGCTTTTTTGTCTACTGTTTTTGTCAAGCTGTCTGAGCTCAAAAACTGTCGTGCTGCTAGAGGGAGCTTCCCAGATATAAATATAGAAAAAAAGATTAATTGTTTGACCTTGTCAAAAGTCTCAGTGTGGTGAAGAGAAAGAGGGTGGAGAGGAAAGGCCATCAACAACAACAAAAAGAGACTACCTAACACTGAGACTGAGATTTCCAAGTGGAAATTCGTCATGGTTTTCCCAAGGGAACCACAGGTTGAAAGGTCTGGAGAGGGAAAGGGAGGAGACAAAATCAGTGGCAAGTTGTTTGGGAGTCACTTGTAAATGAGAGAGGTCTCAGATCCTTGGATCTTAGTGGGTGAGCAATAAGAGGGGAAGGTAAGCTGGAGTTTCGGGTAGTCCTGTACTGAAAAATACAGTGGTGTCCTCAGGATATCAACTTTTTCATTAAAATATTGCCTTTTCAAAGGGGTTGGTCTATTGCAGAGAGTGTTCTAGTTGCCCTGGGCCCAGTGAAGTAGTTAGGAAAAATGTTTTCAAAATGCAAATAGTTGCATTTGCAGCTGCATAGTTAGCATCATTATTGATCTGTTTTTCTGAGAACTTGTAATCTTCCCTTGGGCTGCTTTTTATCTGAGCACTCATCTCTTCCTTCTCATAACTGTCTGGCCACTCTCATCCTCCCTTTCCTGATTTTTTTTTTCAAATCGGCCCAAAGAGGAGTTGCCATTTATTCTGTTCTCTCGGTATGGCTGCAGGGCATGTAAACAAGTTAAATTTAGTAGAAGATGAAGGAGTTATTTACAGTATATAAGAATGGTGTTTTATTTTGGTTTTCAATTAAATAAATCAAATCATATTGCAAATCCTTTTCCTTAAAAATGCTGGTTTTCAACTTAAAATTATCTGGTCTGAAGCATGTGCCTTATGCATAGTCACAAAGTGATAACTGGTGTAATAGAAAATAGAAAAGTAATATGGAAACACAGATTCTCTGGAATATGAATCTTTGTTGGCACCTTGCATGTCTCTCTGCGTTGGTCACACAAGTATTTGAAATGCTCAGTAAAGGCATTTGTGCTTAGGAAGGGGCACACAAGAAAAGCAAAGCAGAGCCATGGGAAGGGAATCTGCTGCCTGGCATCACAGCCAGCTGGCACAGCCCTGGGGGACTCACTGACTGAGGAGCCAAGTGATCCTGACTACACTCCTAGAGCAGCAGCTCTCTTGCTTGCCCTACAATCATTTATCACTATTGCAGAGGGAAGAAAGGGTTCATTACCCTTTGAGCCACCATACATCACAGACATGGCTAACAGTGCTCAGGTGATGCTTCCTTGGTGCCAAAAGTGATATTTTGAGTGGCAAGATGAGCACAGGGGATGCTGCCCCTGCACACCTTCCTTAATGACTCCTTGCTCACTACTGTTTAAATGGAAAAATATATAATTTATTCTGGGAAGATGTCTGAGTCACCTGTCACAAGAGCAGAGTTTATGAACCTTGTAGTAGCTTATTTAATGTTAAGATTCAGCATTTTGATTCTCAGTGCTTCCAGCATTATGGCTGTGTCAGGGAGAAGACTGAATATAATACCAGAAATACTATAAAACTGGGCTGAACTTTCTGGTGAGTTTGGAGCAGGAGGCAGACCACATTCAATGAACTACAGCTCACCTGCCTAGAACCCATCAGCTTCACCAAGACTCCTACCTGAAGAGGATAATTCTCTTGACCTCTTTGAAAATATGAATATTTTGCTCTTCTTTGCAAGAATAGTTCTCTGTCTCTCCATGACAATTTAACAGGAACAAACAGCAGTGTCCCAAAGGATGGCTGTGTCTAGAGACAGAGGCTATTTCTTATCTGAAAGGACTGAGGGGTGGGAAGTCTCTGTTTACATGAACTAAATAGCTACTGGGATATTAAGAGAACTGAGGAAAACACTGCAGAGATTGGATCAGACTAGAAATAGTAAACAATTCTGTATCAAACCATTTCAAATGGAAGCATTGGCTGGAGGCATTTATCTTATGAGGGCCCTAGGGATTCACCTGGTACAAAATCACCACCTCAACAGTAGTATCTGCCAGATCTTCATTAAAAATACAAGAGCTTTATAAAACTTTATAAGCTTTATAAAAGCATTATGTGATCTGCTTCTGAAGCCACTGAGAATTTTTCCAATACTCAGGATTTTGGGATGCTGTCTGAATGAAAGACATGACAGAAATTAAGGT